TTGCTGAGACAAGGAAAGCCAAGCCGGATGGAAACGACGGAATTCCTTTGAGAAGATGTGACTCAGTTGTGGTATGTTTGCCAATAGGTGTCTTCGTCAAAACGCAGTTGTAGATTACACCTTTAAAATCAAGATCCCAGCCTTAAAATCCAAGTTGTTTTATATAGTAGATTCCACCCGTTCCATCCAGATTCGTTGAATAGATTCCACCCTTAAGATCCAGTGGTTCAGCCACTGGCGAACAGCAAGCCTTTAACTGGGTCCCTCTTTTCCTCAGCGTCGCCGGCAACCATATTTTGGCCCCTGTCAGCCTTGCATTGGTAAATGTATTTTCAAGCCTGTATCACCACGAAGTACTTGGGTTTTGTAAGTGGAGATGTTGGTTCTCATGTGAAGTGAGTTCGCCAAAGCTCGGAGCCCCGGGCATGACCGCGCCGATGATACCTTAGATGGAATCAGGCAAATCACCTCAGATTTCACCCCGTCAACAGAAGCTACTGGAATTCGCCCCGGCATGCACCATTCGAACCCACCAAAAGCAAGGGAACAAGGCGAAAACTGCAATGTTACCTCCACCCCCGAGTGCTGTGAAGCTTGAAATGGTTGAGGGTGCCTGATAGGGATTCGCTAAACCAGATTGGTCAGGGCTTATCTCTCCCAAGCATTGCACTCGAGGAACTACAGTTTTCCCCGGCCCCGGATTACGCCCCCCCACCTCCTACCTTCCGGGAATTCCGGGTTCAATTTTCCAAGCTGGGAAGCACAAGGCGTGGCACCAAAGGGTCAACGGGCCCTTGCATTATTGACGCACCCGCAGTACCGCCTAGCTGACTAAGACAGTTTTCGCTCAGGTTGCGGGATTCGCAGAGTTGGGTGTCCCTTTTCAGACCCCAAAACACAAAGCAGCGGAAAGCAAGATGTCGGGCTGCACAAAAACGAAAGGTCTGACGTTCGGCCGACCTGCAACACCAAGCCCTTCTTACAGGTCTCCCTCGTGAGCTTTTCCGGCTCCCCCCAAACAAAATGGACCGGCCTGATACACCTGGACCTCCGCTCAACCTTTACCTGAACATGTCCAATGTGCACGCTTTTTGCAGCAGGAATATTCCCAGGTGTACGTCTAAATCGGGGAAGTGCCCAAAATGGCCGCCTTGCTTCAAACTATCCCGACAAAAACACCGGCGCGTAAGCCGTGACAAGGAGCCCATCAAATCTTCCTTGCCCCCCCCCCACCCCCCCCCCCCCAAACCCCACACGACGAAGTGCCCCCCCGGGCTTCCCCTCGTTTTGCCTCTCGCTGAACACGGCCTCTCAAGGCCCCAGAGGGCCAGCGGCCCATCCAACCCCAAGTCGCGGCCGCGAGCGGCGGAAACGTGTTGCAGTAAGATGGACTGGAAAGAGCAAAAAATGGACAACTCACTGGCTGAGTAGATGGCCCAAAAAAAGTCCAAACTTTCTTTTTACCACTAAAACGGAATAATATCTCTTTGGATCTCGAATCCACCAAAAAGCACAACCTGCAGATGGAGAATAATAAGCTCGCTTCTCGAGTAATTCAATTGGCCGAGGAAGGCCAAGCCTTTTGGTTGCCAGGGGTGATGCAGCCATTCACCCCTTGTTTGGCGGTAAGAAGCTATGACTCCAAACGGTACGAATCCGGGGTCGACACATTCTGCCAAGACGAGGGCTGACACCTGACGTATGAACAAGTTGCATGGGCCGTCGGTGTGGGACCCTGGCCTTTTGTAGACCTCCAAGGAACAGCTGACCCATTACAATAGGGACCCCTACCAAATGTTGTTGTTACATTTGTCACTGGGCTCCAAGTATTCCATAGATCCCCGGTATGGTAGTAAATTTGACAGGACATCTTCAACCGCAGCCATCCCCAAGGAGAAACCATTGCCTTACATGCCCCTTTTTGCAAGGACCCTTTCACCTGTCTTCTTGATGTTGTTTTTTCCGCCCTGCAACTTCCCAAGCAAAAGACAGGCGTTGCTTGTATGCGGAAACGCGCTCACGGCCGTCGCGGGTAGTGGACTGGCCGACTGGCCCACTGGCCGACTGGCATGCGCACTCCATACGCATAACGCGCGGGAGCGGGTGTCTGGTTCGCTTCGCCCACTCCGTGCGGAGAGAGGGAAGCTGGCCAAAAGACGAAGCCTTGGTGCGGTCACAAAGGAAGGGTGAGCCAGAGCCGCCGGTAAGCATAAGGCAATGAAGCACAATGAAAACTCCTTGCGGAATGCGCAAGGAAATCCAAAGGAAATAGGGGATCCCTAGATACAGGGCCTTCATCCTGTCCTTCGCTCGTTTTACCGCCAAATCGGGTGAGCTCGATCAAAAACAGGCAGACAAATATCCCAGGCGGCCTGACTCTGAATGGGCACCGGGCCTCTCTCCCGCATCATAACCCTGGCTGCACCAATAGCAGGCCAGGCTTTAACGGAACCCAGGAAATCAGGCAACTGGGCAAGGAAGGCAAGCTTAAACTTCACTTCTTCGAAGTGAAACCACGGCCAGTTTGAGGCCATGCCTGGCACGGCAAGCCGGCCGTGCCCACCCAAGATCACCCAAGAAGTCTGTGGGGTTGCTCGCGCCGGGCGGACAAAAAATCCAAGCACTCAACGTAAGAATTGGCAACACTTGGCCATGGCAAACAGGTCGCCGCCCCGGACTTGTCCAAAAATGCCACTTCAGGATAATAATGAGGCTTGAGCGCAGATTCTTCTGGTGTCTTGGGAAGGCGAGGTGAGACGGGTATTCACCTGACTGTGCGACAAAGGAAGCACGGTCAAATCCGAGCGTCTACACAGCAGCCGGTTGAGCCGAAAACTGTCAAAAGTCCAGATTGAAATATGCAAGCGCAAGGAAAGACACCTTCATCGTGAGGGTTTGCGCTCTGTGCGGTCGCTACAGTTTGCCCAGGGTTCATGTCTAAGTGGCAAACACCTTGCCCTTGCGGCCCTTGGGCGCTGAGCTTCGCTCAGTAAGGATTCCCAGTGACCCAAATGCTAACCCAGAACACGAATACCCCTTCACTTGAGTTCACTTGAGTGCACATGCACTCTCAATTATACCCCTAACAAAACAAGACAACCCGCAAAAAGAGCTACTAAGCAGCGTCCAAAACATACTCGTCCATCAGAGATCCTCATCCCAAACTGGAAGAGATCCCCCCTGCATACATTCAGGCAATGTCAAGGGAAACAATGGAACACGCGCACAAAAAAGGCCCCTTTAATAGATGTGAGCCGGGGCCCCTCCCTCTTTGCTACTTGGACAGGGAGCGAACAAATGTTAAACATACTGCCACAAATTGCCCTTCAACCTTTTGACCCCATTTCTCGAAGATTTTCCCAGGAAGGTCCTAGGCAATTTGAAAGCTTGGAGTTGAAAGAGGCTAGCCACAAGTTGTGGCACCTGCTGCATGTAGTCGCTGAGAAAACTCCGCCGCTTAGGCTTGAAGCGATGCAGCCTGGCCACAAAGAAGCTCGACTCGTGCTGAAGCCATTTCTAACAGTTAAACCGTTTGCGGTGATGTGAGAAACCCCTCGGTTTCTACAAAAACAAACTGCGGGTGATGTGGGACCCCCCTCTCAACTTTAAGCCAATCTAATCACCGGAACCAGGCGGGATCAACGCGAGATTGAAAAAACAAGGTGGCGATTGCAACCGCCGAAAGCCGGCCTCCAGGGCTTCCGAACCCTGAACCCAAGGGTCAGAATGATCATTCCTAGGTCTGGTCAGGAAGATGCTACCCCTTCCATTTGGTTAAGACTCCTGGAAAAAAAATCCAGTAGTGATAGATTCTCTTTGAAACAAACAGGGGAAAACAAACAAATATTCTTAAGCAAATGGAAGCCCCTCAAATTGGTTGGCATCAGATTTTACCCGCCTTACTTTTCTGAGGGATCCCAGCTAAAGCCTTGCAAAAGGGCTGGCCATCCCTGGGTATGGTCCAGAAGCTGGATAGCTTTGCGGGAGCCCCAAGAATTCCTCGCAGGGCAAGCCATCCCGTGGCCTTCATGAATCCAAAGCTGAGAGGTGACCATCCTCCGAACCAAGAAAAGGTCACCCAGGATCTGGAGACAGGGTTTTGGGTTTCCACTTGCAAAAGGGGGGGGGGAAAAGGACCTGATCCTCTACATCAGCTGGTGCTTGGGTGACGTTTTAGCTGGCATCCTTGCTGTCATCCTTGCTGGCATCCCTGAAGGGATCTGGCAAGCACCCGATTGATTGCGTACAATTGGGGGTCGCCGTCAAAACGTGACGTGAGGTTCAATGATAGCAACAAGCCTCCCCCCCAGAGCCCCGGAATAAAACCAAAGAAGAGTGGGGGGGAGACTTCTTCGGCGCTTCCCTACCCCTCCCCCCCCCCCTCAAAAAAAAAAAAGGGGAAAAAACGCGAAAGGCACGTTTAAGGCCTGGGACTCCAGGTCTACTCACTTTCGGGCGCCATCAATGTGGGGTACTTCGTCAGAAACCATTATGGGGCAGCGAAGGAGGGGACGGGGGTGGGGGGGGGAGGGAGGGGCGGAGGGAGGGGTGGCGGAGGGAGCCGAATTAGGCCCCTATTGAGCCCGCAACAAGGCCTTGTTAAAGGCCTCACCCACAGCGCCCTATGGCGTTGGCAACTACCTAACGTCACATTAGGTCTCCTTGAAGGCTTCGCTGATTGGGACAAAAGGTAGGCCGTCTGCACCAGGGGATCTGCAAGAGGGGCAAAGGCAAGGACAGGCGCCCATAAGATCTCGAGGGCTCAACAGGAGATAGCCCCGCATGAATTGCCTACTTCACGTCGAGGCACGGAAAACCAATTTACCTTCAAGCCCCTTTTCTTGGAAGTAGGGTGCCCCCGTGGGTCACTGGGCTTCTGCAAAAGTCGACCAATTTACGTGTCCGTTGAAACCGTCGCCGCTGGTTCCCTTTAAAGGGGCGATGCAACTCCGGCCGCCGGCCGGGGATCTCAGGGCACCCGGTACCCGGCCTGCCCAGGCTCAAAGCCAGCCCTGCGGGGCGGCTGGAAATGAGCCATGAACCACACCCGGTGCTTCAAGGGTTCCACCCAGACCCATGTGCTGCGGGTCAAAACCAGGTACCCAACGTGGAACCCTGGCAAATGGTGTTCAAGGAGTGAACCCGCTGGTGGTAAAGTTTTGACCTAAGCCAAGGCGGACATGTGCACCTATGGTTTCGATTGTCCCCTACTAACCCTAAGTTGGCTGAAATGACAACTAAGATACGGACGTCCCTTTTGAGGGCTTCCTTCCGGGAGTTGAGTGCAAGCGAAACCCTGACTTGCCCCCCATGCTGGCAACCTTCCTTAAGACACGGTGCGGCTCCTTTCAACACCACCAAGATCAAACTCATCGGTGAAAAGTTCAGCATCCCTGGCAGAAGGATTTCTGTTGGACCCTGGCAAGCGCACTCCCGCACCAGGCGGCAGCCTGAAAAATGCGCAAGACAACACGGCATAGGACAGCCCCAGCATATAATTGGGCCAGAAAAAATCAACCAAACACCAGCTGAAGATCCCAATCCTAAGGCCAGTGGTGGATGTATCCTTCAGAGAACCCTGCGGGATGGGACGCTCAGGAATTCAGGCCTCTCGAATTTGCATCGGGTTACCTGGTCCACTTAGATCATACACCGGTTTCCTGTGCATCTACCCATCTAGACATCCAACCAAAAGTGGGGAAAAGGCGCTATGAGAAACAGCGCGTCGCAGCTTGCATATGGTGATGCTGGCTTTGTTGTGAAAGAAGCCTTGAGAAAACTTCATTTTTCGGGAATCACCGGCTTTCACGCGCCATGTTTGTTTTCCGGAGCCGGGCTTACCTCATGTGTTTTCAGGCCGGGCACCGATCTGTGAATTTTGCACTGTTGGGCTCCGCTGGTGTTCCTCCCGGCGCACCCGGATAGGCCCTTTGCATTTGCTCACCTCCTGAGTGGACGGGACCAGACCAAGTCACAAAGTCCTGGAACTGATTGTTTACCACTAAAATGGTCCAAGCCCAAAAAGTGACACAAGTCCAGAACCTCAGTTTGTATGCTTTATCCCTTTGGTTTCCCATTACCCCAACCCCAAAACGGGGTTCCGTCTAAAAGATCCAAAAAAACACTCCCCGCCTGGCAGCACTGCAGCCAGCTGCGCTTCTTGATCTTCTTGTCCACGGGCTTGCTGGCTTCTTTCCCTTTCCTATGCTTCAGGCACGTTCCCCGGTCACTCAGAGACACACCTAGGTCCTCCAGTAGAGAGGTTAGAACAAGTTTATGTTGGTACCCTTTTTTCTGTAGTCTATTTTAGTAGGGGAACCCTCCCCCAAAAAAGGGTAAACGGGCACTACTGGGGGACCTAGACACTGTGGATGGACGAGAACCCAATTTCGCACCTAAGAAACCCCAGGTTTCGGATTCGATTCCCCTGCGAATACCAACGGAAAATGGCTTCCCGTGGCTTCCAAGTGGTGGCGAAATGGATTTCCCAAGCCCCCTGGGAAAAATACAAATGTTTCCAGTAGTGATAGATTCCCTTTAAAACCAACAGGGGAAAAAATAAACTTAAGCAAATGGAAGATCCACAGTAGGGAAGACATAGGAGAGACATAGGGGAGCCAGGTCGGAAGGTTTGAATCGCCATTTCCCAAGTAGCTTTCCCCTCATTGCTCATGGTCACTAGGCTGCAATGGCTGAACAAGTATGCTATAGTTGCCCAGCTTTAGGAATCTCCTGGACATGTCCCAGTTGCCCAAATGTATGTTCGAGCTTCCTCTAGTCCCTTTTGGGGGCTAGAGTCGAGAGCATGTTCGAGTCCAGACCTTTCGACCTTCAAGCACAGTTGAAGCCAGGAAACAGACTCCACCCCCTGCCCATTTACTAAATCCTTGTTCTACCCAACTCGATTTGACACAGCCCCATGTGGTCAAAGGGGCCAGGCAGCTGCGCAACCTGTGGAGAGCAAACTGAATTCAGCAGGGTGCCGAGTCAATTCCCCTTTCGCAATCAGTCCACCCTGGAACAAAATGCACACACAGCCTTTTGCTCAAGTTGGTCTGTTTTTTTGTTTTTTTTTTCTTCTCTGGGGTTCCTGAGCTTCCTCAAGGTATGAACATCCTCGAAACACTTTGGCGCAAAGAAATGTAGATCAGAACCTGCGAGCAAACAGGGAAATAGATAGTTACAACAAGTCGATGCTTCGGGATTCAGAATTTCATTCCAATGTAATTCCAGAACATGTCGGGCAGACACGCTTGAATCAAATTTCGCGGTTCAAGCGGACCAGAAACCAGCATCAAAGAAAACGGTGCATAGAGTCCCGCCCCCTTGCCACCCAAGACTAACTGGAACTCGTGAGGGCTGTCATTAGTGCAGCCGTGCTTGCTTTTGCCAAAGGGAAATCATGGAACATGGATGCGGCATGATGCGGCGGGCGCCTCATTCCTAGGGAATCGGGATCCGAACTTCGGAAGTTCGCGAGGAAGATTTTGTTTTGTGGGGGGCTCTGCTTAATCCGGCCCTCGCAGCACCTGACTGGAGTCACAATCAAACCGCGTTTGTTTGTTTTTGTTTTAATCGCGGGCTTCCCCCCCCCAAAAAAAAAGAAAAAGAAAAAGGAGTAACGAATCAAGAGGGCGGATCTCCGCACCTCTCCCTCCTGTCGGCCTGTTCTCTACTCATCTTCACTTGACCCTTGTTTTTGATTCTGAATTGGCCCGCTCGAGCCATCCCGCCCCAAATCAAAGGCGCAGCTCCTCCCCGCCACGAAATCCGACCCGACCCCCGGACGCAGCCAAGGAGCTTGGCTGCTGAGAACTGGCAAGTGGGCCGAGCTGATTTTTCAGCGAGTCCCCCAAAAGGATCCAAGGAGTGGGTTGGTTTAACCCACCAAATCCACTAAAAGGGGATCCCACTAGAACCCATTAAAATGGTTCCAGTTTCAATTGCACCCACTAAAAGCTGTCAACCAACCTCTGACTGCCCCAGTTCCCTTGATACTTAGCTCTTGGGAAGACCCTTGACAGGGTTTCCGAGCCATTTGCCTGCGGACCTATCCCCGTTGCCTGTCACGGATCCCGCCGTGTGAAGAAGCATACGGATAAACCCCTACAAATCGGAACTCACATACCTACCACTTCCCAGTCATGACCCCATCCCTCTACAACCGGCAGAGGAAAAACCGCATACCATCAATGACACGATTCAGGCAAACTTTGTCACATTGATTTGTGATTGCTTTTTAGGAAAGCCAAAATGAAAACCGCCATTTTGGTATCTATTTTGCGGGGTACTTGAGACAAACCCATTGTCCCCAAGCAAGCACGAGGGCTCATTCTGACACCCCATCGACCTCCTGCCTTGACAGCTGCCGCCGGCGCGGAAGAATCTGCCATGGCTAGCGAATCCTGCGGATGCACGACTCATCTGCGAGATAAGGGGTTGGTTCCTTGTGGTTTTTGTTTGGGACCATCCAAGGGGACCATTTTCAGAAACCTCCATGCCTGGCCGGCGCGAAAGTCAAGTATTTGCAGCGTGGGATTCATCCGGAGGACTGTAATCAGAGGAATCTCCGTATGAGCTCTTTTTTCTACTGAAGGGGAACCAGCCGGGATTGGGGCGGTCAGGGCAAGGGTGTGCAACATGTGGGTGTGCCTTGTTTGACGGTAGGGGTTGTTGTACAAAGGGAAACACCAGCAGAAGAACTAGAGACAACCCCATATGGAGGCACGAACACAAACATAGGCAAAAACGAACAAATCGAAACAATCACGGACATATACAGACAGGCACAACTAGCCAATGCGGGGCGCACGCCGTCTTATGAGCGCAGAAGAATTGGTACCAGCGGACAACAAATGATGAAAACTGAGCAAAAACACGCCAAGACACGACAGCAAGGCAAACGCTCTCAAACACGGCAAGCCAAGAGATAATCAAAGCAAAGATATCTCAGCACGGTTCGGAGCAATAACACTTCCGCGATACTCAAGTGGGACCGCCATCCCTCTGACTACTTTGTCAAATTGCTTTGTATCACATGCCCCCAACTGCAAGTTGTCCGCCGCCATGAATGTCAAGGCAACCTCACCAGCGGCAAAACGCTGTCATGTTGGTTTTCAAAACCATGGCCAGCTCTCGAAAGAGAGCGCAAGAATACAAGGGTATGTTTCCTTGCGTGTACCTCTTTCACCTTGAAAAGAAAAAAACACGGTGTTGGGCCCCTATTTTGACACATGCCCATATGATTGGGAGATGGGGCCCAATCAGCTTGCATCGAAAAGGATTCGGCCTGCGTTGTTTTTTTTTTGCACGTTCTCCTCCCCCCACTCTGCCGCCCACTCCCGACCCAAAATATGTTTGGACTTCCCAACCTGATAATTTAACCTCATGGCCATTCATCGATCCCTTTCCCAGGGTGGAACTTGTGGGTTTTTTTGGGATGCAGCGCCCCGTGGGATAACATGGATGGTTTCCTCTCCAAAAGTGGTCTGATTCCCCACATGTCACCCAGGGACACCCAGCTATTAATCATGAAATGGGGTTGATGAATATGGGGTCAACATTCAGGGCATGGCCGGGACAGGGATCCTTACATTATACACCTGAACATTGCAACTTGTAGATGCTGGTTTCCACTTCTTTATTTTGGTGGAGAAAAAAAAACACATGTTTCAACTAGGTGGGCAAACTGTGCCGAGTTACCCGAACATCACAGAGCTGGTTCACTTGCGGGTAACATGCCCCGAGCCTGGTACTTCCGGGCCTGATAGGCACCTCCAGGCCCGGCTTCGGCCGAAACCGGTGCGAACTTCGCGGAGTTTTTTTTTTTTTTTTTTTTTTTTTGTGCACAACAAAAAACCTCGGGTTTTCTTGTTTTTGTCCTTGAAAACCCCGGTTTTTGCTCGAAAACCCAGTTGTTTGCTCGAAAACCATGGTTTTTGCTCGAAAGCCTTGTTCTTGCTCGAAAACCCCACGTGCCACAGTGAACACCTCGTTCTTTGTCTAGACGTAGATGGCAGTTGCCTGAGTTTGGCTCCGGTGGCACAATTCCCAGTGACCGACATGCACTTCCCAACTGCATGTTCATGTTCAGCCGCGTAGCTATCGACCTTCGACCGGCTCAGTCGGGCACAGGCCAAGTATTGTGTGCTCTATGCAGAGCCGAAGCGTGTGAGACACCCAAATGGGTGAGGCCTTTTTCAGGGTGGCTTTTCTTTCGAGGTTGTAAGGGGAAAAAACAGAAAGACATTATTTTGAGGGCCGACTGGAGTTAATAGGGCCCATTTTTGGGTTGGTGTCTAATCGGGGGGATCAAAACAAGCCGAAGTTCAGAACCAGAAGCAAGACTGCAGGCACCACCGTTGATGCGCGCAGCAGGCTGCAAGCGGACATTCTGCTAGATGGCTGTAGGATTGTTAATCCCAAAGTCTTCAATAACCAGATTGAAGAATCATCTTACAAAGGACACCCATTTAGGTTGATATCCTCTTGGTCTTCAAAGCAAAAACAACTCCAGAATTAAACAGGACACCCCTGAACAAACGAACTCAGCTTCATCCGCATTTCCTTCGCTTTGCGGGAAGCAACGTCAGCAACATACAAAGAAACACATCCCTTTGCCTTTAGTAATTAGAGGCCAAACCCGCCCGCTTCTTGGAGAGAGTGGGACCCCCCGCTGATGAGCTTGCAGGACTCGCTAAGCAGGAAGCAGCCGGCGGGGCCGACCAGCGCCAGCAGCCACCCGAAGTAGCCTCAGTCGCGCCAGTCGCGTGTGGGGGTTCAAAGTGGTGCGAAATGGTTGTCCGTCCGCAGTATTGCAAGTGCCTAGGGCACACTTCTTGGGTATTTTGAGGACCACCAGACCGGACCAAACAAGCAATTATGGGAAAGAAAGCAGGATACACAAACCAACAAAATTGCGGTTCCCTTTGGCCTCGCTTCCCACAAACTTGAAAAACGAGTACGGTCCGTACCCTAAGATGAGTACCCAGAAAAAGAAAAGACGGCACAGTGGTTTCCACCAGGTCTCTACGTGGCCTTTGAGCTCACCAACCAAGCGTCCAAGGAGCCAGCCGGGTGGGCGCTTCTCAACGAATCGGAACCCATTCACTTTGGCCCGGGATGCCCATGATCGAACCGGAAAGCAAAAGAACCCCCAAACCGAGAAGAAAAACGAACGAAAGGGGTCCCCGGGTTCCGTGCATCCCTTTCTGGGAAAGTCATATTTTGCCGGCTGTTCTGTTTGCTTTCCTGCGGCTTTGCGGTTCTTGCTTGGTTGGCGTTGGCTGGGGAGCAAAAGTTTGAATTTTAGCAGTTCAGGTGGGGATTTCAACCACTAAACACCACAATAAGCAAAAATGTGTCCAATGTTTCCCTACAACTAACTGCTAAACCATGTTGTAGCAAACCATTCCCACCAAGCAAATATACACATATATAAATATATATGTATGTGTCCCTACAAAAACCATGCTCGGGGCCTGGAAACGCCTCCGAGCGGCCGATTTCCAGGCCGCGCAGGCCCAGGATCTTGTCGGAGAGGTAGGGCACCAGCACCGCCTCGGGCTCGGGGACTCGCCCCGTCTTTTGAAGGGACGCCGAAAGGCCTAGGGCTACCTTCCATGTCCATTCTTTCCAGGAATCCTTATTTTTTGGTTTTTTGAAGAAACCATGAAAAACCCGGGGAAACGGCTAGTTTTTGAAAAGAACGATGGTTGAAAAGAATGGGGAATCAACCCCTAGAAAAGGAAACCACCCATTTCGTAAGTACGAAAACAAACAAGACAAGGCCAAATCTTGGGAGACCCCCCCAAAAAAAAAACATCCGGAGAATCGGATTCCGAAAAATGGGTGCCATGATGTGCCATGCTAGATTTGCATGGGGAGTATTGGGCCCCCCTTTTTCAGGTTTGCATCTCAAAGGCGGCGAACCAAACCGATTATTTTGAGAACCGTCCCCGAGAAATGGCCAGAGGGTGAAAGCTAGGTACCCTCCACATGGAACCAGAGAATTGGCCCCTTGAGGCCGGATGGGCTTGAGAAAAGACGGGAATCTGGAACATGGCCCGGAAGCGAACGATTATCCCCTCAGATAGTCCCTTGTCCGCAAGCAAAGATGACAGTGGCTTCCTCAGCTACAAACATGCCCGCCCTCAGAAAGAACAGCGGGAAACTATACGTGGTTCCCCAACACGACGAAGTTGGGTGGTCCTGTCGCCTTTGGCGGCCAGAACAAAAATCATCGAACAATCATTCCAAGGCGCCACGTAGAGGCAGATCTGCGCCATGACAATGGCCTTCTGCATGGACGGGTTCCCCAAGATGTCGTGCCACATGGGGTTCGTGAAGGACCGGGAGATGTAGGCACGGATGTTCTCAGACCTTATGGCTGCAAATCGAGCCCCTTTCTGGTACCAGAATGGACCATCCAAAGGTGCCTGGGTCACTTTTAGGGCACTTTCCTTGGTATCACACCTGGGGCTGTCCTGAGATCCCCTGCTAAAAGTTTGATTTTGGGTCGGTTACGGAAACCCAACCACTAAGCCAACCCAAAAGCGAAACAAGGCTAAGGAACTGGATGCCCTACGGGAGCTGGTCCAACTGTTCACCATCTAGGTCCTCCAGTAGAGAGGTTAGAAAAAGGGTACCCTTTTTTCTGCAGTCGGTAGGGGAATCCCCCCTCAAGAAAGTGTAAAAGGGCACTACTGGGAAACCTAGCCATGGACCCGGGAGATGCACCCTTTGGAGCTTCAGCCTCAACTCCACTCACGCGGTGAAATTGATGGATTCAATCTAAGTCCCCAACCTTTCGGGTTCTTGACAACTCTTGGAAATTGGTAGCACCTACTAAAAAAGAAGAACCGAAAAACCTAAGATCTAAAACTTGAAACAGTGAAGTTGAGGAAGATGTCAAAGAGCTCGTTGGTCTATAACCCCGCCAGCCAGCTTTCCACACAAGTCGGAACTTCTGCACAGCCACACACAAGCCACGGCCACTGGCTTACTATGTCTCCAACTGGCATCAAACTCTGGTGAGCTATCCTCATCTCCTCATGATACTTTGTATTTTGGTCAGCGACGGATGGTGTCTACCAAAACAGGGTGACGGTGACTGGCCATTTATATCCATGCTCTGACCACTGTGCAAGCCCCATGCAAAGCATAATTCAAAGCATACGACGCATGCAAAGCAAACCTCATCCTGAAACTGATCTAGGAGAAAAAGCCGCACCCTCCCCCGCCCCTCCCCCAAAAAAAAATGGACATGCCCCACACTGGAGGTCTTTTGGTGTGTTTTGCACGGGAACCATCAGCCGCCAACTTACAGTAGGATCCCGGGCCAGACCAAGGAGATGAAGGCCACGGTCTGGGCCTTGCTCAGCCTGCCATGGGCCGACTGCCCGAGCGAGAGCCCAGCAACCGAAACCGGCCATGGAGCTGTCTCGGTTGCTGAAACTGCTCCCCTGCGAAAAGTGTTTAACCTTTAGTGGTTTAATTCGGAAAACCCCATTGGTTGGCAAAAAGTCAAAGTCCTAACATCCCTTGGCAAAATGCACCAAAGTTAAGACCCCGTTCAATCAAACACATGTACCCCCCTGGGTACCTCCCTAAATCGCCAGCCATACCGCCCACCTACTACTGATGCCATTTATGGTGCCATGATATCGTGGGGTGGATGTGTGGGTATGTTGCTTGAATTAGGGACCCTTTGGCGGACTTGATTTGCAGGAACATTTATGTCCACCAACCAGTTTTGAGAGAGTTTTCACTACAATTCATAATCACTTGGGGTTGGTTCCCCCCTCGCAGGTGACCTTGCAAAAGAGTCAAGCAAAAGTTGCCTGTGCAAAATGACAAACAGCCAACAGCCCCTACAAGGTGCCCCTATGCCATGCGCTCCTTTAATGGAAGCAAGGAAACAAGGCAAGAGCAAAACACGTCCAAATGGAGTTGGTCCATGCATGCCCGACTGTCAGTCTGGACGGGTTCCGCCTACGAGTGGCTTGTTCTTGGAAGTGGCCGGAACTCACTCAAAACCCATGGTTGAGTCAGAGGAGCGCGGCCCAGTTCGGGACACATCCAGCTTTTTGGGGGGGAACACCTCCCCCATTCATCCACCCAGGGTTGACATTCAGACATCCGCTTGCAAAGCACGTTCGTTGAGTGTGAAACCAAAAGGAAAACATTTTCATATAAGTCCGAAATTCTAGATGGGATGTGGCTTGTTCATCGGCCGCTTGTTCGAGAATGAACTACTTCTTGCGAATCAGCCGGGACAAAAATATGCTACCAAATACTGTGCGCGACATCAGGCACACCAAAGCGCACCCCGTTGTCTCTGAACACTTTTAAATCGCGCTGCAAAAGTGAGGACTGCTTGGTTGAAGGGGAAAGTGCTTAGAACAACTGCCAGGGCCTCACTTCAACCCAACTTCAAGGTGGCCTGGTATTTGGAGGGCGCAGGCAGTCTGGCAAGCTCTTCGTATGCCCAGAACCTCTTCGGCTGTCCAGGGGTTTTCTGCAACCCCCTAGTGCCGAAACCCAAATCCAAAAGAGCCGAAACCAATCCGAACATGTCAAGGGCCCAAACCAGTCTGGCCTCCCCACACCTTGGAGGGTTCCGGAGATGAATCTTGGTCAATCTGGCTGGGGGCACTGCTTTCGTGCCCGCCAAACCGCTCCCAAACCGAGGCCTCGGGCTTTCCATCTTTTTCCAAGCACATGGGCCACAATCAAAAGCTGGTACTTCAAAAACCTACCCATGCCCTACGGGAGCTGGTCCAACTGTTCACCATCTAGGTCCTCCAGTAGAGAGGTTAGAATAAGGGTACCAACTTTTTTCTGTAGTCTATTTTAGTAGGGGAACCCTCCCCCAAAAAAGGGTAAAAGGGACTACTGGGGGACGTAGCAACAATATGTGAATTCGGCTCGGAAGCCCTCCCCTACTCTACTCCTGAAAATGGGGCGGGCTCCGCGCGAATTCACAGACTCAGCGGCCGGCGCGGCCAAAAATAGACTGGATCCCACCCTCCGTGCCGGGCCTGACATCGTATCCTGCCGCCGAAAAAAGCGGAACGAGGGCTGGGGTTTGGGTATGATTTGATCCTAGCATGATCAGTGATACCAGTGTCACCCGCAGGTGGATCACTTGCGAGGATGTTGCGTCACTTGCGGCGATGACTGACATTGGATCGCTTGCGACGACAAAGGGCGGGTCTCTTCGTCTCAAAAATGTCAGAAAACGCGGCAGGGCCGCTGCAAAATGAGCTTCAATCATTCCGGCCGGACCCAATTCGACACGCGATCCTGCCGAAGCAGGGCACGAACGCGCGCACACACGCAAGGACACGTCACGTGCACGCACATGTGTGACTCACACAGGCTCACAGACACACAGACACACAGAAACACAGAGACACACAGACACACAGACGCACAAACACACAAACACACGGACACACACACACACACACACACACACCCACGCACCCACGCACCCACCCACCCACCCACCCACCCACCCACCCACCCACGCATGCACGCACGCACGCACGCACGCACGCACGCACGCACGCACGCACGCACCCAAAACCCATTGCCCATTGACGTTTTGTTGCACTAAGATGGCCATACAGGTTCTCATAAGGCACTTTAATACCCATAAAACCCGGCAGTAGGACGTAGGACCACCTACTCAAATACCCAATTGCATGGGGGGAGCCTATAGAACCCTTCCATTTGCTGAAGTCCCTGAAAAAACAAACATGTTTCCAGCAGTGATACATGCCCTTTAAGGCCAACAAGGGGGGAAAGAACGCATGTTCTTAAGCAAATAGCCCCCCGATTGAACTCGAAAGCGCCTGGGCCGAGATTATAGATGTTGGTTTGGAGGATCTCGCCGTCGCAGAAGTGAAGCAAGGAGATGAGGTACACCGCCACGACCACAACCTGAAAACACAGACGTGTGGGGTTTCACCATTGACAAATGGGTGTGGCTCAAAATAAAACAGGAGGGGTTACGCAGGTTTTGGTGTTTCCACTTACCAGGGCCATTTTGGTACCGGTTTTTTGAGCCACAGCCAAATGGCTTATTTGGGAGGGACATAGGGGGGACTCTCAATTTCCCACATCAACTAGGGACTCACTGAGGTTCCCAAATCTTGCTGGGGAGCAAACAAATCACCGCCCCTGCAGAGTAACAGCAGGCCGTTCAGGCTTCGCTCACCCAGGAGGGAGGGGGCTGTCTGATTGGGTCGGGGGAAATATGTTTCAACCATCCCACTGGTTCTTGACGGGAAGCCAACAACAGCTGGTTGAAGCAGTCGTTGTAGCATGTTTGAAGGGGATGCCCCATGCCCGATTTGGAAAGAGAGGGTCAGATCCAAACCGGCAAGTCCGGTTCGGGGAAGCCAGGATGGGTTTTGGTTCAGTCGGAGCTGAATTTGCCAGGGAGATTTCTCACGGGCCATCTTACGAGGTGTCCACAGGAAACGCCTGGAGTGTCCATGCGCTGGTGGAACAGTGTGGGATTGGGAGGCTGGGTTGAGAACCCTCCCGTGTGTTGGTGTAGTTGCCCTAAAACCGGCGTTGGGTTGGGATGCTCCCAACCCAAACCGTCGGAGCGGCCTGTACCATCCCAAGAGTATGCGTGTGTACGAGTTATTCTTCCAGGTCTGTTTCATGTTTTGGGGTCGGGTGAAAGGTGAACAGACCTCAAAAGGGCCCTGACACAATTGTTTGCACGGAAAAAGCTGACCGACTTGGCTTCGTGACATAATCAAGATAGATGGATTGAGTCTGGACCCAGCCGCGTCCTCAAATGCGCATGGTCACTTCGTTCGGACTGACCTGCTGACTATGCAAACCACAGGACCACCCCCACCCCCCCTAATATACACCGTTCCCACTAAAAGGAAGGATTTGAGCAATCAACTCGGGGGAGGAAACACGATGTGATGAGAAGCATTTGGTTTCTTGGCCGAAGCTTATGGAGCCAATGCCATGCCTGGCCATGCCTGGCCCCGAGAAAAACATGGGGATTGGGGGAGGGGATTGGTTCAGCCTGCGAAGCCTTCACATTTGTCTTGTTTGATGCTACCCGGCCTGTTTTGGTGTCCGTTTTGGGGGGACCCCTAAAAAATCCTGAACGCTGACTTGGGGTCTTCAGACGGGCCTCTCCTTTTTGGAGGCTACCCCGGCCGGTTTTGGTGTCTGCTTCGGGGCCCCTTTAAAGAATCAGAACCCCCCCCGGAACCCGCCCCGGCTCTGGGCCGCGGGCGGTGAGCACCATGCCGTTCATCACCATGGCCAGCCACATCCTCGGACCGGGATCGGCGCTTGGCGCTTTGGATCGGATTCGCCGGAAGGCAACGCTGGTCTTTTAGCACAGGATCAACTGGCCACTCAGAACTCGCCATCGTTTTCTAGGGGTTGACTCCCCATTTTTTGTCAGCCATCGTTCTTCTCAAAGACCAGCCATCTCCCCAGGGTTTTGGTGGTTTTCTAGCAAGATTCGGATCCCTGGAACAAATGGAAATGGACAAGTTAGCCCTAGAGGTTTGCATTTGGTGGGACATGTCATCTCAGTTTTCCCAAACGACCCGGAAATAAAATGTTAACCTTTCTGAAAATTGACCAAACAAGCAGCAACTAAAAGGTCAAACCCCAAACAGACTCCTTTGCACGGCAGGAAGTCACCTGTTCGCGTCGAGGAGTGATTTTCTGGAAAGACCTCCGGCAGTTTAACCGGAACCCACCCCTCCCCATGAGGTGGGGAGGTCGGCCCTTTGCACCACTGATCAACATTGAAAAAACATTCCAACCGGTGAGGAAGTACAAGTTCAGCCTATGCATGGATACGGTATCCGCCTGGAAGTTGGCTGGGCGAATTTGAGATCCCCCGCTAAAAGTTGTTGAACTTTTGGTGGGTTGAGTGGAAATGTTGAGAAGTTCTTCGGTGCCCGGCGGCCCCCGGTTAGTAAACCCAAAGCTAACTTGCATCTGGGCGTCCAGTTCAGCACGATGGGCTCCTCCTGGGCGGTGGAAAAGCCACACTGACCCACCAAACTGAGAATGCCCCGGGAAATCATTCCTTTTGCCGGTCAAAAAGGGAAAAAGAGGTGGCGTCGTGTGAAAACCTTCCAAGAAAAGGTCCCAACCCAAGTGTCCTCCTGTTTCTCACGGCCAAACTGCGCACCGCTAGCACCATGGAAAGAACTGTGGGCCTTTCCATGCAGAATCGCTTTGTGCATGTTGCATTAGGTAGGTTAACCCCAGCTACCCGACAGCCTGCCAAAGTAGTGCCTCCCGCGAGCCGACCGCTAAAAAAATCCTTGGCAGCCTGAGGTTGCATTCTCCTTGGCCTTTGTGCGAAACCTCTTGCTCCCGCTAGGGGCCTTGAACATCCCCCCACATAAAGCAAGCTTACTTGAAGTGGGCCAAAGGTGCTGCTTAGATCACCCCAGCCCTGCCCTCACCCCCCACGAACGGCTCCTTAGGCCGTGGGCGCATCTTCAAGATGTTGGCCTCGCCTGGAAGATCAGTTCAGATTTTGAGGGCTTAGGGAACCGGGGACCAAGGGGGCTTTTGAGGGCTTCGGGAAGGTAGGGTAAGGACCCCATCTCAGGAAACAACCATACATATACACATATATCATATATATATATATGTGTGTGTATGTGTGTGTGAAGCAAAATAACTGCTAATAGCTTTCTCCTGTCATATATCATGACTTGATATGGTTTTAACATATTCTAATTATCGAGGCCCCTACATTACCCAGCCTCCGGCCGTGGACGCCTCCCCCGCAAAAGGATCGGAGGTTGAGATCCAGATCCCTCCCCGAAATTCAGACGCTGGATGCACAAGTGTGAATAAAAGAAAGGAAGGACCCCCGCCGGGACAAAAATGGAACCAACTATGAGCGTCAAACTTGATCGGGCATTCTTCAAGCTGCCGCGGACCCTTCCGCATCCCTTTCACAAAGGTTCCTTCTGCGGACTTCCGCTGAAGAAGCTTTTCATCGTTTGCTTCCGCTTCCTTCCGCGGCGCACCTTGTTTAATGTTACAAGCTTTTGCTTCCATGAGCGTTGGCCGAGTAGCAACTCCGAAGCTCTTGCCTGCTTGCGTCTGCAACCGCTCAGCTACTGGCTTATTGCCTTTCACCGTCTGACAACGAAGGGCTAGAAACTAGCGTAACTTCTCAATTCTCTGCCTGTTGGCGTCTGCCACCGTGTAGGCTTGGAAGCCCCCACAAAAGCACTTGCCTGCAAACCCGGGGCCACTCTTCCGCGGAGCTTCCGCGAAGCTTCCGAAAAACTGACCAGCTGCTTTGCTCCCCTTGGACTGTCGATTGCTCTTCTAAGCGTTGCGCTGCCAGCGATTTCCTGCTTCCAACCGCTTCCGCATGCTTCCCCAAACAAAAAAGAACTGGACGAGCTCGTACCAAACTCAGAACTGAGCCCTGCCGGGGCATCCTTTCTGCAGCCACAGGTGGCCTTGTGGACAAATAGCTGGGTTCCCTACTAGATGGGGCATAAAACCCGGCCAAACCAGTCGAACCCATCTACGTGTAACCAGACGAGCCTGAAAAGGACGCCTGTGGCTGCAGCCCAGGCGAACGTTGAAAGTCTTGCGCCACCAAAACCCCCGGCCCTCCCACGTTGCAACGAGCCTGGCTCCATACCCAGGGCGATGGAGGGGGGCAAATCAGTGACGAGGATCAAGAACAGGATCTGCAGAGGTGTGCGCATCACCTGGGCATCGAGGCATAGGCAAGGTGGGTGGGATGCCTAAACCCCCGGAAAAAATAAGAAACAAAAAAAGTTGTTTGAGCCATGCAGGGAAACAGGAGAGAAGCGGACTTCAACTTTGCCCAAAAATGGAAGGCAAAAGAAACAATTCAAAGGAGTAGCCATGTGCTGTCTCAAAATCGGGAACTCCAAAAAAAACATCCCTCGAACAAAGACACCCCCGCTTGACCAACCCCGCACTACGAGAATGAGCACCTGCAAGCTAACGTGGCGCTAAGGGGCCGGGATGCCGACCACGATGCAAAGGAAGATCTGCATAACCTGCCCAGAGAATCCCCCTACCTTGAGGAGGGTGGGTGGGAGCCGAGTCCCTCTCGGATGCCCAGCAACCACGGGAAACAAAGCGCATCCTCTTTTTTTTGGGTTGGTTGACCTTGAAGGGGAACCCTTCCCCCAGAAAAAATCAGAAAAAAGGGCGCCACTGGGCAACTGGGCCCAGTAGAAACGTCAGAAAGGCTTCCGTATCAAAAACGAGACACACAAGGGAACCATGAATCCAGCTCCGGAGGTCCTTGCTGTTTTTTGCGGGAAATTTCGAGCGGAACCTCCACTCTTTTTTTTTCGGGATACGTCATGTCTTGCCTCTTGCCGTGCATTCCCGACATTGCAGTGGGTGACGAATAACTGCTAAATCTAATTCTGCCTAGAAAGCTGCAAGGGAAGGAAAAGGGAACCCCCGCCCGGATTCCATGTTTGCGGGAACGTGCAGAACGCAAAGGAAACAAGCGTTTGCTTGGGGCATGCGTCAAAATGGGGTGATGGGGCTTTCCCGTCGGTTTCGGTTTTGTTAACACCAACTTGGCTAGGCTACCTTCAGAAAACACACACGCATACGCTCTCTTGACTGGGGCATGGCCTCCGCAATGTGCACGGACATGATGAAGGCCACAAACTTCTGGATCCCCGCGTAGATGGCGCGGCCCTTTTCAACCTCACGCTGCCCAGGGCTCTTCTTCGAGTCGTAGCAACAAAGTCTGAAAAATGGCACTCTTTGAGAGGCTCACATCCCGAAGACTCCCCCAAAAAAACACACACACACACACACACACACACACACACACACACGCAAAACCTTAGGTCCACCCCTTGAAAACCGAAGGGAACTCCGGGAGCAACGCATCCACAGGCCTCACAGAAAAGCATAGCAACAAAAAGCCACACCAAAAGAATGAATCCCTCAGAACCAAGCCCCCCCCCAGTGGCCCAGTGACCCTAGAAGCAAAAGGGCGCCCTTGAACTTTCTTGGTGGGGTACCCGCGGAACAAAAGAAGCGTGGAATCCACTGAAAAAGTTGGCACATCTCAGATGATGGAAAGAAGCAATTTCTGGGGTGTGGCTCAAACGTAAAGTGCTGGGGTTCTGCAGGTTTTAGTCTTTGGCTTTCTTTTGCCAAGGGTGCCATTTTGGTCTCCATGTTTTTGAGCCACAGCCACTTCCCAGGCTGTGGGTCAGAAATAGGTACCCCAAATGGAACCTTGGTATATGGAAAGAAGGACTAAAACCTGCGGACCCCTGGTTGTTTGATTTGGACCCATACCCTCCCTCCAACTAACATGGCACCTGTGGGGAGATACCTGGAAGATTCATTTCCTTTTGAAGGGAGCCCCTGTCAGTTGCCACGTTAGTTGGAGGGAGGGTACCCAATAGAATTCTCGGTTGCTTTCTGCTCCCCTGCTAAAAGTTTAACTTTTAGTGGTTTGATTCGGAAAACCCACTCGTTGGTAAAAACATAAAAGTCCCAACCTCCCTTGGCAAAATGCACCCAGGTGAAGTCTACCTTGGAGTGATGCAAGCAAGTGATGTTGTGCAACCGAGCACATGGAAGACTCCATGGAAGACACGGTTGCCTCAGGGGATTTTCCTTTAGGTTTCAACAAAGCAAAGAATTTTGCTGCCTCCAAGTCCCTCGGTTTTTTCCGAGTGGCCGCTGCCACGATGGAGCAGAAGTTATCGTCCGTGAGGATCCTTGGTGATCGACTGCTTCGACCAGCTGGGGGTGGTGGAAAAAAACCCTCGGCTCGGCTTCCCCCAAAAAGGGGTGGTTTGTTTGCCTCAGAAACTTAGGGATTTTTCTTCAAGGAAACCATAAAGGATGGTTTGTTTTTTGGGGGGATGTTCTATGAGGGGCTAAGGAAATCAATTCAACACGATATGTTGGTACCAGAGAAAGCATGATGTTTCAGAGCGATGCTGGGATCCCTTTTGATTTCTGTTTACATAGGAACGCCTGAGAGCGCGTTATGTCTTTTTAATTGCCCCATGAGCTCATTCTACTTATCTGGGTGTGTTTCTAGAGGGCCCTGGAACATCACAATTCCATGCTTTAGTGGCAACCTACAACATGTTTTCCACAACCGTGGACGTCGGTTTTAAAGGATACACCTAAAACCACCTGGCACACACAAGTCTTCTAAACAAGCCGGCACAGGTGAATTTCTATATTGCCAGTCAATGTTAATCATACCAGGAAAGCAAGCTGCCTGTGGCTGGTTGCTTTGTCTTAGGGGGCCAAACCCCAAAAAACACTTCCACGTGGATCCTTTACACGGACTCCCAGTGGCGGACAAAAAACCATGTCCGCAAAACAGAGGTCCTTTTGCCACAGGCGACCTCTTGGGAAAAAAGGATGGCCCGCAAACTGGGGCATAAGACTTCACTCTAAAACCAGTGGCATCAAAACGCCCACCTATGCCAGTCCTGCAAAAACAACAACACCCTTTTGTGGCAAGGGGCTTCTCCTTCATCCCACCCATTTCAAACACGCGGCCCCCGCGCCACGCCCGTCCCGTCGACAAATTCCAAGGCGCATGTCTGAGGCGCCCTTCGCCACCTCCGTGCCCTGGATGCCCATGGCCACCCCGATGTCCGCCTGGTTCAGCGCCGGCGCGTCGTTCACCTCGAATTTTTCGCGTCAAAGCGACCCGGAGAAGGCCGAGGCAGGCGCGGCTCACGTGGAAACGAGGCCAATGTACCAGTGGAATGGTGAATTATGATACGCATTTCGCCAAGCTGAAATAAGTTGGTGGGGGGGCTGTTCCCCCCATAAACCACCAGTTGGGGTGAGGTCCTGTGAGGTCGTTAGAATTCACCCAGATTGGAATCGTCTTCCCACTTCTTGGCCACTGCAACGACGAGGTCCCCGACGAGGACCACTCTCAGGTCCCCACGCAATATCGCGCGATGACATGGTCTGTTGGCGTGATTGCACACCAGTCAAACAAATAAGAGATAAAAAAAATCACATCCTCCTGAAAGAGACCCCCAAACCCTCCCCCCCCCTCGCCCTCGCCCCCAAAGACACGGGGTGCCACTCGATGGCATTTGTGCCAAGGAGCTCCGTCCCCAGTCATGGCGGCCACTTGGCCTCGGATTTTCGGGTCACTGGAATGAAAATGCAGTCTGGAGGGTTCCAACAATTATTTATCAGTCCCTAAGGGGTAGGCTGACTAAGGAACCTCAGGGAACCCTAAGCAACCCTAGGCTCTCAACTACCCACCCTTGTACGACTTCCGAGCCCATGGGACCCATGGGCAAGCCTTTGCGTCAGGTTCCACGGCTACCGAGGCAACCCCATGCTCACTTCGGGGAGGAAAACCTGTGATTGCTTACCGAAACGAGCTGTGGATACAACTCTCGAAAGGAGCGCTACAAGATGGGAAGAAGCTGCCAGTGACGTTGGTGGCAATTGGGGCTCTGCCCCATTGAACCATTGAGGGGCTTCATCCTGCCTGGGCTCCTTGGCTCCCGAGTGTCCATGGCCAGGTGGAAGATTGACACCCTTTCCGATGTGAAGGGGTAAATTTGATGTACAGGGGGTTAAGAACCACACCTTTCATACTGACCCTCACTTGCCCAAGAGACTTGGAAACAATAGGCAGCTGCCTTTTTGGCCCTTGACTAAATCCTGAAGGGCGCTTCAGGTTGATTCTCTTTGGGCTAGTGAGGGCACTGGGTTCACAATGAGGGCCCTCCGTCAAAATCCGTAACGCGCGGGACGCCACTAGAACAAGGAAAACCACTGCCACCTTTGCATAAATCTAGGGGTTGATTAGTTGATTCCTTTTCCATTCTTTTCAACCATCGTTCTTTTCAAAACCATCTGTTTCCTTGGGTTGTTGATGGTCCTGAAAAGAAGGATCCCTGGAAAGAATGGGGAAGGTGGCCCTAGAATAAAGATTTAGGATGGATGTTGAACTGGCCCTTCGCGCCTTGTCGTTGGATGCTCTTCACAATCTCCAGCTTGTCCTGCGCGGTCCATGGACGCAAGAAGCGGCCACAAACAGCGCCGAAGGGCCCAGGATGGAGTTAGCCCGCCCGAAATTCCAACATGCACCGCCCAATAAGGATCATTATTTTGAAGTTGAAAAGGCAATGCAAAACAATAATCCAGATGATTTGTTTAAACCAACCTACCATGAAATGGGCAGCCTTCCCTGTGAAACGGACCTTCATCATGGGCGAAACTTGTCACAAACCAAAAACCCTTTCTGAAGTCTCGATGTAACAGGCATGGAACAAATGCAAAACCAACGTTGGGGCCCTGTTCTTTCAGCAACCGGACAAGGGCCTTTTTCTTGAGACTTACCTCTTGGCAGTGACGTTCCAAGAACAGAGTGGGGATCAAAAGAATGGATATCCAGAAAAGGCACGTCAACCGACCACGGCCACAAAGGCCCTGACAAATTGCACTAAAACCGCCAAGTTTCCAGCTTACTGCCCTTCCCAGATCCATACAGGGGCTACCGCATTGTTCGTTGCAAAAAAAGTGGTGAGTTCCTTTCCAATTTCCAAAAGCCACCTTGCGAAGTCCAAAGAGAAATTGAAGGACCCGTGGCATAACTATCCAGGGTTGCTTTCTTCGGCTTGAAGGGCCATGGAGCCAAGCTGCCAAAGCTGGTCCTCCCCTTTCAAGCCACACCCCCCTCCAATATGATGGACACTTAGGGAACCTCCTTCATTTCGGGTCTTGGTCTTTTGAGGTTCTTGGCCAAAAAAAAACCTGCCCCCCCCCCCCCCCCACCCCCCAGGTTGGGAAGCTCCACAAACCGCCACACCCGGTCAGGCACCGGCCGAAGCCAATCGCCAAGGCTCCTCCGGCTTGGCGCGCGCGAAGACGCGGGTGCAGCGCGTGACATTGTCCATCTCCTGTCCGCGTGCGCCCCCGGCCCCGGTCGGGACCCTTAAAGGGTGTTTACACCAGCTTGGGTCCCCATTTGGGCGGGCAAAGGGAACGTTTAACGGAACCCTGTGAAGAATCCGACGTTGTGATAAGGGAGGAATCTCCCAGTAGACTATATTTATTTCCGACTGGATTTTTGGCGCAAGAAAAACTGTTGTAACCTTTCCTGGGTATGGGATCTTTCGCAGCAATGGGGGACGGAGACATCAGCAGTGCCTCTTTGTTGTCGGGTCTGTGTGCATGTTTGGGCATTCAGCGGGATATGTTCAGGCAACAGGGGTCCTTCGATCGCTTCGATGCTCTCTTATTGGTATATAGATGGTTTGAAGAACAGCTCCTGGGCCAATTGTTAGAGGAGTCCACTTCTTTACAAGAAGGGCAACTACTTGTATCGTAGTTGCAGTTTTTTCCTGCCTGGTCGGAGAGGTACTCGTTGTTGGGCCGCAGCACCGCGCAGTCCATGGCGGAGGTCTCCACGTCATCGGAGGCCTGCAGGATGTTCACCTCGCGCTTCGTCGCACATGGAACAGCCACCCGTTGGGTATATTCCATTTAGGGCCCCCAAATCACCATGCAACCCATGCGGTTGAAAAATCAGATTTGCGTCCCGTGGTTTTGAAACCCGTGGTCCAATGGTCTGTAAAGGACCGCTTGATCAACCCCCATGCGCTCTACTTGTCCCTCTGCAGGAGTGGGGGTTTGGGAGGTAAGGAAGCTTACATTAAGTGATAGACATATCTATATATATAGAACTACGTGTTATATGCCCACATAAACTTCGGGTACACCCCCACCCCCCAAACAAGAAAAGTGAAAGCTGATGACCACACAAGAAGTATGCCCATACCATCTTCAGGCAAGATACTTTTGGGAGGTATGGAGGCATTTGTGCCACCGGTTTGTACGCAATTTCCATCTAAAAGTTCGCTTTGACTGGCTTTTCCTATTCATTTGCAGAACCTCAGTAATCCCAAAACCTGAAATAAGAATTGGATCCCCTCAAGGTCAGAGCCCGCCACACGCTAAGTTCGGCCGGGACCTCAGGGTTTGCATTCGGTGGACCCAAACACGCCGAAGGTGGCACAGGTGACACGGCGGTTACTTAAAAGGGCAACGAAAGGAAGACACGCCCTCCCTCCCACGACTCTATGCGGCAGCAATCAACCCCCTCCCCCCCTCTTAGAACAGGAGATGAAGGGAAAAAAAGGCACCCTAACCACCCCCCCCTCCCAAAAATAAAACGAAAAAGGGAAGGCACCTAACCAACCCCTCCCCCCCCCAAGCAAGAAGAAAAGAAAGGAAAGCTGCGCTGAATCTATTGTTTTCAGCCGAAGCGAAGCGGCGTTCTTGGCGATGGCGATGGCCGTCAACAGGTAGTCCCCGGTGATCATCACCACGCGGATGCCCGCCCCACGGGCGGCCAACACGGACTCCGGCACCCCGTCGCCTCGCTTTCGGCGGCATCGCGGCGTTGTCGGGCCTACTTGCCAGGGGGTGTTAGGGAATACTAGATAAGATAACGGCCGAATATGACCTGTTATGTTTTTCCAAATATGACGCATATGACTTGATATTTGGAAAAAGCTCAAGTCACGGAGTCTCATGGGGGCGCGGTCTTCAATGCGACAACGCCATCCACATTACAAGACCTTCGCTGGCATGAAGCAGCGAGTGGCCCTCTTGTTTACTCCCAGCGTGTGGCTTGCGGAAACCTGCCCGCAAACGCTCTCTCTGTTGCCCGAGGCCTGATTTTGGACCAAACCCCCGGCTTCACAACACCCGCAGGCTTGGGAAAGAAAAGGCGGCCGCGCTGGACTCACTTCTCATCGAGTGGATTGGCCAGAAAAAGTTCTGGAGCTTTTTGTTTACCACTAAAATGGTGCAAACCCCAAAAGTATGACGTCCAGAACCTGAAGGAATGCGTAGACCAAAATGGTCAGCTCAGGTCACCTCAGGTTCTAATATTTGGGCATTCGATCCAAGCCCCCCTAGGTCAAAGTATGGCAAGTTGTCCATACTTTGTGGGTGACTTCTTTGGGGAGATAACCCTTTCGGAGTGGTGTCGAAGGAAAGCCGGGAACAAACTAAGCATTCTGGGGTTCCCTCATGTTAAGACAAACCCTGTTCAACCAAGCTAAAGAACAAGCATGTTTGAGCAAGAACCTCTCTCCCTCGCGTCTGAACTAACCTCTGCCCCCACTGCCACTGTGCCGACAAAAGAAGAGGGTCCCCTCCAAGCAGGTGCTGAGTGATCTCTTCCTGACGTCCAGCATCTTAAGGTGCTCCTCCGTTCAGTGGGATCCTCCAATCTGAAGTTCACATTACTTGAACGATGCAGATTGCTTTATTCACGCTCGTTGTCAGATGAAGGGATGCATGACATGGATAGACGGACGGGTAGAATGATCGGTTCTTGGATGGATGAACAGGTGGATAGATGGACGGATGGACGAATGGATGCATACATGCATGCATACATGCACTCGGCGGCTTTCTGCTCCCCTGCTAAAAGTTTAACTTTTAGTGGTTTAATGGAAAACCCCATTAGTTGCAAAAAGTTTTTAAAGTCCTAGCATCCAAGCAAAATGCACCAAAGTGCATGCATGGATGGATGGACGGACGGACGGATGGATAGATCCATGAATCATGTGCTTCCGGTTGTGTTGCCTTATTATTTCATCCACCTTCACCGTGCCCTCAATTGGAAAAGACTGGTGGCTTGGGGGGTTCAATGCCTGGTGCCTCTTGAAGCCTACCCTCTAAGCCCACCAATTTAGGACAATCTGGCAGGCGTGTCTCGAATCGGTCCGCAAAATGCGGGGCTACCCCGGCTACCCCCAGGTCCCTTTAAAGACGCCCCCCAAAAGGGGGAACCCTCGAAAAAAGACACACCCATGCTTCTAGGGGACACTTCCCCATTCTGAAACCAGGGATTCTCGAAAACCAGCAGAATCCGACCTCGAAAACCAGAATCCCAGGGGAGACAGCTGGTGTTTTCGAAAAGAACGATGCTTGAAAAGAATGGAAAAGGAATCAACCCCTCGAATGCTGGTCCTTCTCCGGACGCATCGCATCCCGTCCGCTGGCAAGGGGCGCTCAGGGTCAATGGAGGCCACCAGGCCGATGAGGCGCAACTGCTTGCGGCAGGCCTCGAACTTCTGGTCCGTGGTGACCTGAAAAAAGGAGAGAAAAAACACGGGGGCGGTGAGTGCGTCCGGAGGCGGTGGCTGTGTCTCCAAATCAACTGGGGTCATGATTTTGACCATTTCTGGCAAGAAATCTAGTTGCATTGACCTGCTGAAGGACGTGGGCCTGAGAACCCTGCAGCAGTACCCTTTGCTGCATACCATCTTTACATGAAGGTTGTCACACCTAGAACCCCTTTTCATGCCCAGCTTCAGCGGCACTGGGCTTGAGACAGTGGCAACATGTTTCTCTACGAGGGGACGCCCATCGTACGAAAAATCAGCTTCATGGGGTTCCCTACCTCCCTTTTCTCCCCCCTTTGTGCATCACCCCTTAGTAAGGGGGCCGACACGACGGCAACCAGCCTGTTGCTGGAATTCCCCATGTGACGCTGTTGAAAGCGTTTCTTTCCTTCAAGTTGCCACGAAATCGCAACTTCCCTTGGCAGGGTAGCAAGCAACTTTGCCTTTTTGCAGGCCCCCCAGACCCCACCCAAATATGAGCAGAACCAAACAACTCAAAGACCAAACAAGTTTCAAACAAGCACGCCAAGAAGAACAGTGCATATCCCTGAAAACGCATTCAGCCGCTGCCCAACTCCGGCGCCCCTGGTGCACCGATTCAATCGAGTCACGTCCTCGTTGCTCTCATCGTACCTGTGGGCAGAACCCCCCGCCCGGGCGGGGACCACAATCAGCGGCTTGGGGACGATGTGCCTTTTTTTCTGCCGGCGACTTATGGGCTTCTCTTGGTACCAGGGCAGTCCCTGGGAGAGAAGTGTGGCGAACCTCCGAGAAACTACTTTTGGGACGCATTTGACCAACGAGGCCGCTAGAAAATCGGCGTTTCCTGGAGCGACGCTCTTTCGGGCCTCGTTGGCAAACATGTGGTCAAACAAAGGCAGCCTTAAACTGGCCAGCCCTAAGCTCGAAGCTGGGGTTGGAGGAGGACAACCCTTTGCTAGTGCCCTCCCCCGTCATCCATCACCTTTTCAGGGGCCGGCCGCGGCTTCAGGGGGCGATGTTATGTTTTTTTAGCAGACCCCCGGCGTAGATCTAAAGCCAGAAGTGGTGGGTTCTCCAACGGTAAGTGCAAAGGCGGCTGCAAAAGAACGCCCCGCTCCTTGTTTGTTTGTTTGCTTGCTTGCTTGTTTGTTTGTTTGGTTTGTTTGCTTGTTTGTTTGTTTGGTTTGTTTGGCTTGTTTGGTTTGTTTGTTTGTTTGATTGTTTGTTTAATTTATTTATATAGTATTTATTTATATATGTATTTATTTATTTACTTATTTTCTTATTTATTTGCTTTCTTCTTTTTTGGGGGGTGGGGGGGGAACGGGAGTTTTGCCGGATCAGCCCCTCAGCCCCTCAGCCCCCCAGCCCGCTTCGCCGGACCAAGGTGCGGAAGGGACTTCATGGGCCGTGCCGCGATGGCCAGCACACGAAGCGCCCGCGCCGAGTAGCCTCGAGCGCCCCGCGAAATCTGATCGCCGGAGCGCTCCACTCGAGGGGCGCGGGGTGGGGTGGGGATGGGGTTGGGGGGATAAGGTTGGGGGTGGGGTGGGGCGGGGCGGAGTGGAGACTAACCCATGTGTGGCGGCAAAGTTACAACTTTGCCGACCCCTGAAAACGCAAAGCCCCCGCGAAAGGGTCGAAGTCCTAAGCGCCCGGACATGCCATGAAAGCTCGAACGGCTGTAGGAGAAGCAACGTGACCAAGCTGCTCTCACTTATACACACCAGAAACACACAATAAACCATTCACCACCCTAAGTGTCCCACGAACAACGTCCAATTGCTTAAGCCGCATCCATTCATTTCAGCCCCCTGCAAAAAATATGTCCAGTAGTGATCGATTCCTTTTAAAACCAAAATGGGAAAAGTAAGAAATATGTTCAGGAAATGGAAGACAAACCCTCATTTCTGATGGAACAAGCTGCCGTTGGGCCTTTTTTCACTCCCAAAACGGGTCGGCCAGGCTGGTGTTCGAACCGATCGGGCCAGGTGTTAAAGCGGTCTACCCAAATCCGTGCCTTTCTGGCGACCGCGCCAAACCTTCATCCACCCGAATCGGAGTTGATTGCGGATCAGAGATTCCACTCTCCACCAGAGGCGTCAAGCAGCTCAGCTCAAACATCAAGACTGCGCCCAACCCTCAGAGCCAAGATGCCATCCAAGCCTGGTACTAAAGCTGTCCCAAATCCATGCCTTTCCGCCCACCGCCCGTTGCTAACCTTCCTCTAGCCGAATCGGAGTTGATTGCGGATCAGGCGCCATCCACGATCTTCAGAATCTCCGCCTTGTTCTCCTCCGTGAGCTTAGCCACGCCTCGGAGCTGTTGTTTTCTTTTCGCCTTTCGCCCCAGGTACTAAGCAGGGGCCCCTCAAAAAATGACGGCCATGGAACATCCTGGAGTTTCAAAAGGGGTCGTTGAAAAGGGATACCAGGGGTGCCCTGGTTGTTTAAAAGGCGAATACCCTGCCCTGTTTAACATTATATACGTTTAAAAAGAAAGGGTCATGGGGCACATGTCGCTTGCGTTTCCCGTAGGTCGCAAAACGGGTTCAACACAGGCATCAAACCTCATAGCTCACTAGAGTTTCACTTGCTTCAGACAGCCCCAAAGCTCGTGGGGCATCGGCCCCTTATGGTCCCATCGCTTTGTTGCATGGTCAGAAGGCCCCTTTGCTTCGGGTTGACTGGATGGATGGTCATTCACCTGGTAGTAAGGATCCTTAATACGCATGAAACTGATTCCCGTTAAGGAAACCATGACTATAGGCCAAAGTAACGGAGTTTTGACCATGGCAGATATGTCCAGATTCCGTTTCACAATCACTGAACCTCACAATATAGAATCACGCTGGAGACGAGGCCAAAGACCCAACTTGCCTTTTCTTGCTGGTGCTCAGTAGGGTGTGGGAATGAACCCAGTTGGGTCCCCTGTAAGGGAAACCACCAATGATTTATATGGTGGCATTCCCTTTCTCATCCCCTACTGAGCACCAGCAAGTCCTTTCTATCTGGGCCATTCGTTCGAGGGACTGCCATCCTCCTTGAGCTGCTCGCTGCAGAGGTCGATGATATAGTTCGGCGCCTCAGTCCCCCAAAGCTCCCTTACATTTTTGGGTTCCACACCAGCTGCCAGGCCGTACCAGCTTCTCAGCATTCCGAAGGCTCATAGAACCATGCTCCCACGGCTTTTCCTGTGGACGAAGCCCGGCTTCTGCCACTACAACTGCAACATAGGACCTCAAAAGAAGGCCTTTCAAACACAAGGGCCAAATCTGGAGGATACTGTTTTCGGGGGGCCCCCACCCCCCCAAAAAAAAATACTCCTGCTGAAAATTTGCAGGGGAGTATATACTGGGCCTTTTGCCGACTCACCACGCTTGCCGCAAGCACTGAGTGCGGAGCCCCCTTGCACACTGTCAGGTAGTTGGTTCCTGCGAGCGCGACGGGATCGACGCTGCCTGTCTGACCCAGATGCCGAGAGGTTCAAGAGAGTCCTAAACCAGGTTGGGGTCGGAAAACAGGGGCCCCCCCTTCCCAAAAGGGGCTTCCACCTTTAGAGAGCTTTTGGCTGACAAGCTGCACCCAGCTTTTCGACAAGGAGGGCTCTACGTCGGGTCTTGCGAACACCCTGGCATCCGATTTTGATCCCGGCCCCTTCAGCCCTCCGTTGGTTTGCAGGCTAAGGGGGCCAGGGGGTGGGTGTGAAAAAACTTTAACAAGCTTTTATCCTGACAGACACACTAGGAGGGCGCCTGAAACAGTAGGTTCCTCGAAGCCCAACCCTGCCCTTCAGCCCAACTGAGGCCTATTGAAGACACCCAGCCAACAAAAGCAACAGGTCCCCAACTTCTGGCCGTAGCAGCTTCTCTCGGATTGGTGATTTGGATTCGTGGTTTGGGGTTGTTCCGTGGCGTCCTGCCCCACAAGGGCCAGAGGTTCAAAACCAAATCCCAAACCACCAATCCAAACCACAAACCTTTGGCTTACCTGACCAAAAGCCCCTTTCCAAACCACCAAGCTATGGGTCACCGGAGTATCGTACCCACTTGATTCCCTTCTTGGGAGTGCCTGAACTGGGCTGTCCGTTGTTGAAATCCCCCGCTAAACCTCCAAAACTTCTCTCGGGTTCCAGTCGGAAACCCAGCCGCTAAACCAAGTAAAAAGCAAAAAAAAACGCTGAGGAGCCGGACGGCTGTGCTTGCCAAGCTCCGGATGCCCACCGCCCCGCGGCGAATAGAACGGGGTCCCCGCTTGCGCTTGGCCAGGCGAGGCTTGCCTCCCACGGCCTACATGCCTCGCCTCCGTTTTCCTTTTCTCCTCCGCCCATCCCCCGGCTCCTGCGGCCAAGGGCATGCCTCCCTTGCAGAGCTCAGTGCCGGAGACCCTGGAGACCGTGAGCCTCAGCTTTCTCGAGGGGATCCATCGGAGGAGAAAAAAAAGAAGCAATCGGGTGTACCCTCCCACCAAATCCACATGGAACCATATGGAACCTGACCCGGCCCCTTTAAAATGCAACATGCCCCGTCAGGTTCGTGGATTGGTGTTCCGGGCGCTCATTTCCTCATCATTTCCCTTTGCAGTTTCAATGGATGTCACCCACCCGTGGAGCCTGCATCGCGTGGCTTCCCGAACATCGAGCAGAAATCCCGATGAATCGAGCCTGAAAGTGAACTGCTCGCTTTACCCGCGGTGAGCTGACAATGTGCTGTGGCAAATGAGCCCCAAACACGGCGCCGTCCCGTTCTTCAAGCTGACCGCGCTGCTACTTAAAGGGGCGATCGGGCACTTAGTAAGTGACCAGTAAGCCTGCTTATGACCCATAGGAGACTTGTAACCATGGCTTTTGTGGGTCAAAACCAGGCTTACGAGCCACTTACTAAGCACTCAGCCCCTTTCAGCACGCCGGAACCCCACCCAGCCACTGCCACTGGGCGACATCATCTTCCGGGAGGATGAGAAGGGCACCTCCAGCACCCGGGGGTACTCGCCTCAGCACCACCCGGACGTGCGGCTTGAGAGGTGGCAACTGGGACGTCCGGATGTTAAGGATGCGTTTTGAAAAACCTGCTGAGCCGGAAAAAGCTGTAAACACGGTGAACTCGCGTTAAGTAGGGGCAAAAAGCTGTAAACACGGTGAACTGGCGTTAAGTAGGGGCAAAAGCTGTAAACACGGTGAACTGGACTGGCGTTAAGTAGGGGCTCTGGAAAAAACAAGAGGTACCGACCGACGCCCTTTTGGTGTGCATTTGGAAAACCCAGAATGGTTGCCCAAAGGCCCTGTTTACAAAGCGAAGTCTTTTTGGTGTTTGCCATGTTTATGTGGGGAACCCGCCCAAAAATTAGGGAAATGATGGTGCCATTCCTGAGACGCAACAGGGACATCTGCGTTGCTCAGCAGGCCCAAACGCGGTGATGTCAACAAATTGACATGGTGAACATGAAGACAACCCAGTAGTCTCTTTTTTAGAAGACCTTTCATCTGCCTAGGGGTCGGTTCCCCCTCGTTCTTTTCCACACAAGCCCTTTCCCCTGTGTGCTTGGTGGAGATGTGGCAAAGAAGGATCCCTGGAAAGGATGGAATGGCTTAGAGGAATAGGTTTGTATGAAGGAAAGTGGCAATCGATGACCATCTTCTCCACCGTCCAGCACCCACCAACGACTGCTTTTTCCATGTCCAAATCCCAAGTGCTGTCCAAAACAAAAGCCCTTGGGTCTATCACTTTGAAAGCCATGTTTGTGCTGCAAGAGAAATTGGCAGCCTACCAAAAATTGGCAACCACCATGTTTTCCACAGAACCCCAGAACCCACCGCCACCCCGCCACCTATTCCGGGTGCACCGTGTCATAGGCGCCCCCGCTGGCGATGGTCTCCGAAAGCCCCACCTTCCGCGCCGCCACCACGATCGGCGCCTCCGAGGAGTTGCCCTGCGCGACGCGCAGTTCCGGCGAGTCCCGGGCGCGGCACCGGCGCCCGCGGTTGCGGACTGCAAACTCTGGGGGCAGAAAAGGAGGGGGCGGGAGCCCAAATGGAAATTCTCCAAAACATGCGGTTAAGATGCAAAAACATGGAAAAAAGGCGCCCTAATAACGCACATGCCGTTCCTCAAAAGGACGTATGTCAAAAGGGACCGATTGAAACGGCCGCTGTGATCTAGGCTGCCTTTCTGAGGTCACACAAGTCGCACTGGCAGCTCGGAGGCAGACTGAAAGTTAGCTGCTTTTTGGGTTTGGGCCATGCCCGGCAGGTTAAACATGGACCCCCCACCATCAGTCGAGTCTCCTTTTTGGCGTACCTCATGGGGCGGCATTGGGTTTGAATGAAGCCCCTCGAAAGTTCTGGTGAACATGAATCTGGATGATTTCCAGAGTCCCGAATAATATTTATACCCAGGTACCGGCATGCTGATTTCTCCCACTTGTTTGGGACATGTCGATTGTCACCCTCTGGTGGGTTCTGCGGCAACGTGGACTTGAGTCACCTGGCAACGTGGACTTGAGTCACCTGAGGGTATAGTTGATTCTAAAGGTCAAACAACAAAATGAGAAAAGGGGCCACCTGTGAAAGACCAGAGGCACCCCCCGGCCTTGGGCTTCCACTTCATCACTCCATCCTGCGAAAGGAGCACGGCACTCTCGAGCCGAAGGCCCAGCCGAACGATGCGCCATGAATTTGGAGCATGAAAAAGTGCTACCTTCTTGTTGGATCCATGTAATTTTGCAGGTTAGCACTTAGGGCAAATGGAAAGGAAAGCGACCCTTCAGAGTGATGCTTTCTCGAAGGATGGCTCTCACTCGCAAAAACGAAAGCTCCATACACAGTGGATATTCGGGAGGCTGGCAATAAAGGACCTTCGTCATGGGTAAGCCTGCTTTTTGTTTACCTCCGCAAGGCAAGCTGACCATAAGTTGCCCCGGAAGAATTGAGCAGCGCCCTGACCCATTGTCTTGTGGTTTGAGGTTTTATTGAGGTTTATATGAACCCAACAATAATCCCCAACAAACTGGGCAGTAAAGCCACCTACTCCACACCCCCCCCCGAAGAGTAACCCCGACCCCAATCCATGCTCGCCCTGGGTGAAACAGTGTCTCTCACGGCATTTGGTCAGAGACATGTGATGGCCTTGGTTTAGCGGGTTACCCACCTACTAAATGGCCAACTCGGGGGATTGTTGGCACTGCTCCATTCTAGGCATAGCTGGATGCCACGCTCACCCGCTCGCCTCGTCCTTCTCCTTGCTGAGGGTCGTGTTGCAGCAAAGGATGGCCTGAAACAGGAAACACATCCCCTGGCCGTTACAATCACTGTGGGTCAAAATTAAACCACGAGGATATGGACCGCAGGTTGTAGTCCAAGTTTCCATTTACCAGGGCTCTACGCCCCTGTGTTCATTCTCGCAGCTGTGTTCCCCCGTGTTCGTGTGGTAAAACTGGCCCATCCCTCATGTCTGAGAGCGATCTCCCTCCCTCTCTCTCGCTCTCTCCCTCTGGGGGTTGGAGCACCCCGATTCACTTCCTGCCCAGGCACCGTCAACAGGTTGCTCTTCACACCTCGGCGTGGGGGAAACGGGCCCCTTTCTGTGCAGCCTTGTGAGAGAAAAACACCTTGCGCGCCAAAAGTGGAAAAACAATTATTGTCACTCAGCTGGGAAGGTGGTTGATTGCCATCCGCTCACTTGAATGGGGAGGGGGGCCGAACAAGGGAACCTGGATGGCAGAGTGCCCTTTGCCCTCCGGCAACGTGCCCTCCGAAATGACGGCAATTTTTCCGGATAAAAAGTGTCCCAACGGAACGAGTCCCCGGCCGGCCCATTTTTCCCCAGCCAGACCTCCCCAATGGACTGCGGTCTGCTTGACGGTCCAGACTCAAGCCCCCGGAAAGTCGCTGCGGAGGATCCCTGACCCGTAGAACGCCACAAGATACCGCCAGCTGGCCAAAGATGGAGTGTACACAACCCAATTAAAAAAAAAAAAGAAAAGAGATAGCGCCAAGCAATAAGAGAACACGAATATAACAAGAGAACATGTGTTTTATTGTAAAAAAGAAGAAGACGGATATAACTACTGTGTGTGTGTGGCATCTCTCTTTCCTGCTCATTTTTATTCCATCAGTGTGGTCCATCAGGATTCCACTGGCTTGGATGCGCAGACAACTGTGCAGTTGCCCTTGCTTTTTAGTCATCTGTTTGCTATGTCTTGTTATCATTTACGGCCTTTATTTTTACAAATGAAATCTGATTCTTATTCGAAATTAACCATATTCTGCTCATATGTTTACGATGTTACTATATCTTCATGGTGTATATCTATCTTATCTTTATGGCAGTATCATTGCATTTTGTGTGAGGACTTCTTTTGTTATTCCATTTTCTATTGCCTGCAAAACAGAAAAGGGAACGAACATGAAACCAGCCATTTCATACAATTCCATGACAAACATTTGGCTGCCTGGCAAAAACGACGTCGGAAACACTCGACATGCATGAACTCCACAAGTCTTGAGATATTAACTGCTTGAGTCCACAAGGAGCTAGGTCTAGGCGGGCCCACGCACCAAAAGCCAAACCTTGCTGGTGCTCGGTAGGGCGTGAGAAATGGAATGCCCTATATAAACCATCCAACTGGTGGTTTCCTTTAAGGGCGTCCCCAAACGGTTCAATCCGTTTCTCATTCCCTGCCTATCGCACCAGCAAGAAAGAGGGGCGTCTCACCTCAAAGGATCCGAGCGGCCCATGTCTCCGGCGCCGTTTGCGCCACCCTCACGCAGCACTTGACCCACCTGCGCCATTTGATGGGCGGAGTTGGGGCTCTTCCAAAGTTTGGGCCTCTGGGTCGTATGGGCGAGGCCTCCAAAAAACCGACCCTAGGAATTCTCAGAACCTTTTTGAAAGGGGCTCTTAGAATCGTTCTGAAAGCTATCTCTTGTTCAAGGGGGATGCCTTGTCTTAGGCAACGCCCATTTACTTGCCCCAGCATGCCCCAGTCGCAAACAAGTCATCTTGGGCAATAGATCAAACCTGCGGAACCTACAGGGAAAGATTCATTCCGGACATGCAGGCAACCTGCTGAACTTCTCATTCAACCCTCCGGAAAAAAAAGGAACCCTTTCATTTGAAACCATCTGGTCTCGAAAACCAAAACCAAATTTGCCAAATGGAGCTGCTCCGAACCACCTGGGAGCCGATCTGAGACCAAAAGCTTCGACCGGGCCTCGGGGTCGAAGCCCTTGCCCGTGACTTCGTAGGTGACGCCGCCCGCGTACATGCCCACCATGGTCATCTTTCCTGTGCAAAGAGCCCATGGGTCGAGCCCATGGGGCGTAAAATAGGTGTCAAAATTTGGATTTTCCATTCTCAGTTACCCAAAGGACCTGGGTCATCAGGGGAAAGCAAAAGGTCAAAAGGGACGCCTTTGGGCAAGTGAGTATTTCCAAAGCGGGTGCTGCTTTGGTGCTCCTTTCGGTGCTCCAGTTGCTTACCAAAATGGGTGGGCTTTCCCATGTGTCCACTTTGTGCGTGCGTGTTTGCAGCGCGGCCCTATTTTCTCTCTTTCCTTTAAGGTCAGATGGCTTCAGTCAAAGTGCAACATGTCTGCACCCCCTGAGCGACGAAAAGGTCGGCAGCCCCTTTGAGGAGCTACCGCTGAAGCGTGTTATGGCCTTTTCGGCCACAAAGCTCAAAATGCATCCGACCAAGGTGACCCTTGATCGTTGCCGCCGGCTGGACCTTCGTCACCAGGTCCGCCTCGTTCTCCTTCCCATCTACCTTCACCACCGCGACCTCCTTGGCAAAGACCTTGTCCTGAAGCCAAAGAAATCTCGCCTGGATGTGGCGCGTCTTGCCCACACCCTTCCGAAGGCTCATCGCCCGAGCCGCCGTGCTGTCCACCTTCAGCATGACTCTCGTCACCGCGTAGCCCCAGAAGTTGATGACCCCGCGGATGAACTCCGCGTGCGTTGTCGTCCTGCACATGCCGTAGAACTCACTCTCGGCAGAGCTCAGCGCCACCACCTTCTGCCCCGCGGCTCTGATCAGCACCGTGTGGTGCCCAATCTTCACCACCGACCCCGTGGTGCTCCTTCTCGTCCTCAGGTCTCCGGCCCAATCCGAATCGGACCAAGCCAGCACGTCCACCTCCTCAGGCCTCTGCTCCAAAAAGGTCCGCTTCATGACGGGTACTTCAGCAGGTACCGCACCACCTTCTTGAGCCGAAGCCAATCACCCATCTTCGGGTTCTTCATGGCCGACGCCAACGTCCTTGAGGCGTGAATCACATCCGGCCTGTCCTGGCTCAGATAGGCCAGCCTCATAGTCATAGACCTGAACTCACCGGTCTGGGCCTCGTCCAACGTCTCGGAGCGCTCTTCAACAATGATGTCCTGGTCCCGAATCTTATCCTCCGGGATGTCGCTGCCCTTGGTCTTGGAGTCGAACCCAAACGACCTCATCAGGATCTCCGCGTGCCGCGCATCCGCTTCTACCTCCAAGCGTTTTCCATCCGTTCCATCTGCCACGTACCTGATGAGCCGGTTGAGAAAGAACATCTCCTTGCCGTCCAGCTCCCCATCTCCGACCGTTGCCTCCCACCGGGCCGTGTACTTGCTGTTGAGGACGCCATCCATCCAGGTCAGCTGATCGTCCTCCGCCAGTACCAGAAAGTCGTCCCCATGCACCAGCCCGCTGACTTGAACAGTGCCGGGCACAGCTTGCTGAACTCGCCCTTCTCCTTCTCCATGAGGCCTTGGTAGTCCATCTGGAAGATCTTGCTCGCATCCTGCGTGCCATACATGCTCCGCAGGAGTCTCCCTACCATCGCCTCCTGATCCTCCGGGTGCACCAAGTCTTCCTGCGGGAGCTCCACAAACAGTTCCCGTTCCGCCTTGCCCATGAAGTGCGCCCGGGAGATGTCCCACACCGCCAGCTTCCTCTTCTTCTTGATGCCCTTCTGCGACATGAACAGGCTCAGGATCATCATGACGCATTCCACAGGCGGTGTTGCTGCGAAGGTGTCTTCTGCGCCCAGCTGTTGGTCTGGCCGCTTCGCCCTCTTGATCTCCTTCGTCACCAGCCGACTCCTCACCTTCGGATTCTCTTCATCCCCTTTATTCACATCCAGCCACTTCAGTTGAAGTGGCTTCCTCTGCTCGCTCTGCTCGCAGAGCTTCCTCGGAACTCTTTCGTAGACCGCCTCCTTGCGAAGCCAGTCCAATTCCTCCGCTCTCGCCTTTCTCACAAGCTCGGCTGGCAGGACCGTCCCCGACGAGTCGTCCATGAACAACTCGTCCAACTCCTGGTTTTCCTTCTCCTGATCCACCCAATCGTCCGGCGAGGCTCCCGTCAACATCTCCTCCACGCTGTTGATCTGTCCTCGTTTCCTCATTTCACTCCGCAGGCCTCTCAGGATGGCCTCCACCAGCTCCACCGGGTAGACCTGGGCTGCCTTCGCCCGATCCTTACCGATGAGGTGAACATGCCGATGAACTTCTTGCCCTTGTAGCACGTTCTCGCACACACCCCTCAGCTCCTCCGCAATGCATTCGCTGTTGGTCAGCCACAGCGTCTCCTTTCTCACATGCAACTCTTCTCCATGGTCGTTCCTCATCTTCATGCCAAATCGGCACATGGGGCTCTGCACCAGGAAAGAACCTTCTTTCTCCACCATCTCTTTTACCTCCGGTTCTTCCCAACTAGATGCTCCCCTCGGGTGCTCATGCAGGAAAATTCCTCCCTGCTCAGCCTGCTGTTTGCAGCACTTCATAGCTTTCTGCAGCCTCTCTCTCCCGAGCCTCTCTTCTTCGGCAACCACGTCTGCGTCCCTCTTCGGGTTCGTGATCCTCCGCAATGGGCTAAAGGTTGTGCAGGGGGGAGAGCTCGTTAGCAGCAGCGGTTTCTCCTCATTGATCATGTTGCGGACCTTCGCGAAGTCCGCCTCCTGATCCATGTCCCATCTCGCCGTCCCACACGGCTTCATCTCATCCAGATCCACCGCCACTCCATCTCTCAATCCGAACCGCTGGAGTTCCAGCGTCACTCTCTTGGGTGAGAAAATCTCCACCACATCCAATGCCCCGATGTCCGCAACCAACTCCGCTGCACCGCGGCTACCAACCTCCTCTGCCAACATGCTGATTGCTGCGTCTCTCACTGCGCCGCCAGGGCCCACATCCTCCTCCTCTACTTCTTTGAGCAAATCCTCAATGTCCACGGATCCGCCCTTCCTCTTTGGCGAGGTCTGCCCGTCTCTACTCGAGCCAGGCTCCTCCAACGCCACGGGCTGTTCCCGCTCGTCTCTTGCCTCCTTAGATGCGGCCCTCTTCTGTGACCTCCTCTTCTCTTCTGCCTCATCTTCTAGGCGTTGCTTCCTTCTCTTCTCTTGGTCCGCCTCGTCGTCATCCTTGATCCTCTTCAGGATCCTCAACCGGCACTCTTCTGAATGTCCAACTTGCTGGGTGCCTCCTATGATGGATATGCACCCGCCGTCTTTCCATACTTGTTCAACATCTCCCTTCTCACAGGCCAGGCCTTACCTCTTCCTGGCGTGCCTGGGGCTGGGGCCTCCTCTCCTGCCGCGGCGGGTCGCGATTCTGGGGCCTCCTCCGCCCGAGCTGCCCGCACCTCTCCTCCAGGTCCGGAACTACCCCCAATGATCACGACCGGCGGTGTTGGCAGCTGCTCTTGCTGCGGCTTCGGCTGCGGCTCCAGCTCGACGTACTTCTTTACGTCCCAGGGGACTCCTCTCATCCCTTCTTCTACCTTGCCCCACTTCTCTTCTGCAGGTAGGGCATGATGTCCAGTACCTACGATGACCCCCTGATCGGTCATTGCCAGCACCGACCCAAACCTGTTGTGGGTCCCCAAGTACCGACCCGCCTTCATCTTCTCCAGGTCTCCTCGCCGCCCTTTTCCAGCTGGCTTGACCAGGATCTTCTCACCGAAGAGCGGCATCGGCTTCACCCACTTCTTTCCGGTCCTCCTCTCATCCGGGGTCCTTCCGTCCTCGCCGACCTTGAATCGATTGATCTGCTCGGCCGCGTACCTGGGTGCCCAGTACGTCAGCGGATGCCCCTGAGGTACTCCACCCTCAAACTTCTTGGCCAGCGTGAGAAGGATAGCCCTGATTCTCCACTTGACCTCCTTGACGGCCACCTCTGCTTGCCCATTGGCCCTTGCATCCCCTTGCGGCGATTCTTCCGGCACTGCTCTGGAAACTCCTCGTGCCTGCCTTGCCGCCTCCATCTTCATCTTCACCAGCGATCTCTCTCCATCCGACTTCAGGACCACCTCCCTGTAGCCCAGTATCTCCAGGAACCTCGTCAACGCCTTCTGCGCCGTCAGGTCCACCACTCCTTTCTGGTTGATCGCTGTGGCCATCACCATGCCCGTGTCCCGATCGACCGCCACCAGGTTCGGCTTGGCTCCTTCCTCCTCGCTCATGTAGAAGTAGTCCAAGCACACCGTAGGCAGCCGATCTTCTCGATGATCCACTCTCCGATGGACTTGGACACTCCTCTTGCTTTGATACATTCTTCGCACCAGCTCCTGTAGACCGCGTGCCCGGTCGCCTCATGCTCCTTTCTCTCACGAGCAGACGGATTGGCTGGACTCCAGCCTGGATTCACCGCTCTGGCTTCCACCGACTCCTCAACAACTTCTCCAGCGCCACCTCCTCCAGGTCTGACCGGAGCCTCGTCCTCCAACGCCCATACCGTCTCGCTCTTCTTCTTCCAACCATACTCCTTCCGCCATGGTGGGATGTCATTGTCATCCTCCTCATCTCTATCCTCCTCGTTTGCCATGGCTTTAGGTCTGGCTCCCAAGCCTGATGCTGCCGGCACGGGATCCTCGGCGCTCGATGCGGCCTCCGGTGACGAAGACTCCATCATGGCTACGTCCACCATCTCCGCCACTTCCTCCTTTTCTTCCAACTCCAGGTAGAAGTTATAGATCCCGTTTTCCTCCACCAAGGGGATCAGCCCCTTGTCATGCTCCTTGAGGGCCCACTCCATCAACTCCTCCATCTGCTCATGGACCGGGTGCGTCTTCGGGATGATCGTTCCACCTCCGGAGGTCATCCAGGTGCTGTACCCTTTTTGATGTAGCCGACCTGCGCTGATCAGCACCTTGTGGACATCCGTGGCCTGCCCGTTCAGCACCCTTTTGACTCCTCCTGCATCATATCCCGAGACCTTCACCGGCCCATAGTTCTTGATCAACTCCCCCGAGGCTGTCTTGAAGTAGTTCTCCTTCTCCAACAGCTTCTCACTGTATCTCTTGGGAAAGGCCGTGACCGAGGCGCCCGTGTCCAGGTTGCACTTGAGCCACTTCTGGCTAATCCCAGCCGCCTCTCTCTTGGCCCTCATGTTCTTGGCGAGTGGGGACACCGCCCATGGTCGTGCCGTAGAGCTCGTGTTGGACAAGGCACATAGCTCCAGGCCATTCGCCTCTCCTTCTGGCTCCTCCTCCAGGGCTGCGGCATCTTTCTTCTTCCCTTTCTGCTTTCCTTTGGACTTTCCTCCAGCAGCTCCTCCACCAGCCGCCCAACAGTCCTTCTTCATGTGGCCGGTCCGTCCGCAGTTGTTACATTTGCCTTCAAACTTCTTGTTCTGGCTGGGCCCCATCGGACGTGTTGAAGCCCCTTTTCCTCGGCCCATGCTCTGCGGCTTCGACCAGCAGTCTTTCTTCTTGTGTCCCACCTTGCCGCAGTTGTCGCACTTGCCCTCGAAGCGTTGAGCCTTTCCGGCGCCTTTGCCCTTGCCCTTCACCAGCGACGACAGGCTTCCTGACACAGCCTTGACCAATGAATCCACGTCCATGGGCACCGCCTCGTTCGCTGCGGCTTTGCTGAAATTGCCCGACACCGTCATCTTGCTCCCCGTCTTGGCCTCCATGAACGTGACCACCTCCGCCTCCATCTCCTCGAAGGTCTTGAAGCGGCTGTGGTTGAGCAGGAGGTGCGTCTCCAGCTCCCGAGGAACTAATTTTTCTAATGCATTCATGGCGAGGCTGTCGGGCAGGTCCTCGCGCCTCCCGAATTGGTCTTTCTTTTTGTTGTAGCGGCCTCTCAAAGACTTCCATCTTTCTAGGGCGTTGCTCAGCGAGTCGTACCCCGCTCTGTCGGGGTTCGTGAGGGCTTGGAGCATGATCCTCTTCCGGCCTCCCGTGGCCGGATCATACTTCTTGTGGAGCATTCTCCAGGCCTCCAGCCCATTGCCCCGAGGGGCGTTCTCCACCAGGTCGAAGACCACGCCCTCTGTCGTGGCTCTCAGCACGGTGTAGAGCTGCTCATTGAACTCCACCACCTCATCCCATTGATCTATGAGATCAGCCCCCGTGCCGTAGGCCTTGTCGATCTCCTCGGCCACGATGTTGCCCTCAGAGCCTGCCGCCCACTCCAGGACCTCCCGGCTCTTGCCGCTGAAGACCCCCGTGACATAGTCCTCCAGCTTCGACGCCCAAACCCGGAACTTCTCCTCGGCGTCCTCCCCCAGCGTGTAGGGTTTCCCCAACCCTCTCTGGTCCACCAGGGCCTCCACGCTCCTTCCTGCCGAGCTTCGCCAGGGCATCCGGCAAGCTCTGTAGCGCCCTCAGAACCTCCGTCTCCATGCCTCCTGAGCCGCTTGCCATGCCCTGCTCAGTGACCTGCAACCGTGCCTGCAGCTGTGCATTCTCCTGCTGGACCTGAACCAGCTGCTGTTGCACCTGCTGCAAGGCTCTCATCACCTCCTCCGCCGAGGCCATCGAGGCAGCCGATGATCACCAGGTGCAGGTCCACGCTGTAGGCCAGCACCAGGACCACCACGGTGATCCACCTCCTCCAGCGGCCTCCAGCCGCTCGGCCACCCAAGACCAGGGCCCTGCCACCAGCCTGCCGGCCCTTCTCCTCCGGTTCACCCCGGCCCGACGCAGGCTGACGGTCTCGCCTCTGGCCGATGACCCGGCGTCTGCCCCTGGACTTGTCCAAGGGCTCCGCTACCATGCAGCGCGGCCCTATTTTCTCTCTTTCCTTTAAGGTCAGATGGCTTCAGTCAAAGTGCAACATGTCTGCAGTGTTTTGATTGGGGGACCCCCATTTCCAAAATGGTTGGAGGTTGGGGCGTGGCTTCCATGCATTCTCTACAAGAACCGGCTCAACCAAGGGTCACGCGAGGGAAGTTTGTTTTGTCCTCTCGTGGAAACCGAAGCCACTTGGAGAGGTGCCAAAAGGAGACACCCATTTGTAAGCTTGTCGGCAAGGCACAAAGGGCATCTCCAGAAACCATAGACCCGCAAATTGGTTCCCTTTGGGCTCTCCTTGAAGAAGCGTCCGCACGGTGGGGTGCCCGGATTCTGAACAGCCACGGTGTTGTTTGAGGCGGTTTTTTTTGAGGGCACCCTTTTATGAAGGGTGTGTCTCAAAATACAAGAGCTGGGGTTACACAAGTTTTAGTCCTTGGTTCCATTTACCAAGATGCCAGTCTGGTACATGCGTTTGAGCCACAGCCACACATATATATATATATATATATGAGCCGGTAGCCCTTAATTGGTGGCTTGGATTGGTGGCTTGGATTGGAGGCTTGGGGATTTGATCCCCTTGGAGAGGATAACCAAGCCACCAATTAGTGAGCTGAAATTCACCCTCTTGGCAGGGGAAAACCAAGGCAATAAACATTTGTACCGGACCGCAGGGTTCAATGTACCGCATCGAATCTGCGGGGATCCGCGCTCCTGGGAGGAGGGGTCATAGGGAAGGCTATCCCTGAATGAATGAGCCTAAGATAAGGGTAAATGGAACATGAACAAACCCCATCGAATCCGGTGCCAGAACAAGAACACCTATGGAGTCCCCCCCCCCCCTCCCCCGAAAACCCCGCGCCCCCCCTCCCCCGAAACCCCGCTCCCCCCCCTCCCCCCAACCCCGCGGAACCCCGCCAACCCCCTTCCCGCCCGAACATCTTCGAACGCCGGTCCTTCGGTCAGCGTGCCCGTCTTGTCGCTGCAGATCACCGAGGCGGAGCCCAAGGTCTCCACCGCCGCCAGCTTCCGCACCAGGACCTCCTTGTGGACCTCACGATGCGAAGGCGTGGGGCGGCTTAAAAGCGCCACCGAGCTTGGAAAAGGTAGGGGGCGGTGGGGCGGGTGTGGGGGGGGGGTAGGAAAACCTCGCCAGAGTCACAATCAAAACCCGGGAAAAAAACATGGTCAACCCAGAGCCATGTGAAGACTAACCTCACTTACCCGGGTTTTGATTGTGACTCACCAGGTATGCGGACGCTTGGAGGCGCGTGCGGTTGGGAGTACGGAAAACCCGGGGTCAAAGGCTGATTGTAGGGGTCCATATGGTGAACCCATGCGAATCCATGTTGGAACCTCACCAGAGTCATACTCAAAACGCGGTATTAAAATTGTGAACCCAGAACCATGCTTCAAGAATTATGAAGGCGGCCGCAGCTATTTATGGTTGGGATTGTCCCCTTCACTTACCCGGGTTTTGATTGTGACTCACCAGGTATGCGGACGGGGTACGCTTGGCGCGTGTGGTTGGGAGTACGGAAGCGTCAAAGGCTGATTGTAGAGGTGCATAGATGAACGCATGGGAATCCATCTTGGACCTTGAGGGTGCAAAATATGCTGAGACATATCTGGTCGTCTTCCTTTTGGCGCCCCGTTGATTCCAACCTGGAAAGGTATTTGGGCACAACAAAATGGAGACACATGAGGGACGCCTCAAACTGGGTTGGTTTCCTTTCCGTCCCTACAAGCACCGAATCGACACGGAGGGGTGGCTTCTTATTCTTGAACTCCGGGTGGCTCCCGACGGCTTCGGAGCTTCGGATACCGTTTCCCAGCTCCCAGCCCGGCTCAGCTCCTGTGGATGGAGCCATATTCTTGCACCACTTTGAAACCAAAAAAGCCATTGTTGGTTTTTTTGCTGCTTGGTATTTACAGGGCAGGCATCATTCAATGGGTTTCTTCGCTGGCGCGAGATGGGTTTCCTCCATCCGTCTGAACTCCCCCGGCCCCACACCGACGAGACCTCCGCTGAAACCCGAGGCTCCGGCCATCTCCTGAGCGCGACATCCGCTCTCAGCAACCCCACCCCCAAGGAACACCCACACGGAAAGAATAGGTTCAGAGAGATTCCCCACCAGCCGTTCGGAAGCCCCGTCAAACCTTCCAAAACCCCGTAGCTTTCAGCGCTTTTGATAAAAAGGCAAACCCACATGGCGCGACGCGTTGAGGGTAGTTTGTTGTTCACCTTGGTTTTGGAGGGATGCCAAGAGCAACACCGAAACTATGTTTTTTGGGGCCGCCCTATTTTGCCACTGAACCAAATGGGCTGACGGGCTGAAGGGAAATTGGCCAAAAAGTTGGGTTGATTCCTTGTGCCTTTGAGGAAGCCATGCGAACACTTGACTCCATGGACTTTCAGTGTAAACGCCTTTTTGGTTTGCTTCTTACGCCACATGAGCTTAAGTGCCAGGGCCAGTTTTTGCGCAATTACGGTTGCAACAAAATGCGCAGAGGATGGACCCGACGGCCTGAGATGCTTTATCCAAAGGAGACCATTGAAACTGTCACTAGGGCGGTGCATTTTGGCAGCTTCCAGAGTGTGCATGTTCAGTCACCCGGGCCCTTGCTGCAACTTCGGCCCAGCGCATTGGACTCGATTTCAGATGATGTGAGATATACCAATTTCCGTAGGCTTATGCGAATTCGTAGATAGTTCGGCAGGACGCATTGAGTGCGCTTTGTCTCGGTATTTTTGTCTTTCTCTTTGGGCGTGACTCCGCCCGGATTCTTTTGTTGCGGGCCTCACGCCGACCGGCCGGGGGCGTCTCAACGGATTCATTGACCGCAGGCCAAAAAGTTGGGCCTTTCTTCAAGCTAACCTCAAAGTGGCCCAACTGGCTGCACTGCCGCAAAATGGCCCAAGCTGTCAGAAAAAAGAAGGAAGAAAAGGAGAAAAACACATTTGTTCATTTGTTCCTGCGTTTTGCTGCCCAAACAGTGGACAAAGTTGCGTTTGTTTTGCCTGCCCCACCGCGCCCAGCCCGCTAGCTCATGCCAAGCATCCTTGCAGCCCAAAGACCTCAGCGCACAAATTCCGCTGCTTCCAGTTACCTCTATGCCGGGCTGCCAGGGATAGACATCATGTAGAGCAAATATCGGGTGACCCTACACGGGTGTCCTTTCGTGCAAGCTGAAACTCACTTCTGAGATCCTGCCTACGGGTCCCCGAATGTGAAGCGCACAGGGCCGCACAGGGCCGACGGGTCGCTCGCACGGTGTCTTCTTCTTTTCTAGCGGGAGGGGGGGGCGCAAATACTGGGCCCATCAAAGGGCCGCAGCCCGAGAGGAGCCAAAGGTCCCCAAGAAGGGAGGCCGGAAGCCCCCCAAGGAAAAAACAAAAAAACAGCTCCAACAACCAGTCGGGCGTGCCTCCAAGGTCCAACTGGACACTCCTTTGGTTCGGTGGAGAGGTGCACCCCCTAACGCTGACATCTGGATGTTAAGGTAGAGGCTCATCTTGTAAAAATGCCCATTTCCTTTTGCCGTCTCTTGGGAAACTGTCACTTCCAATCCTTTTCGACCCTTTGCAGAAAACCACACAACAGATCGAGAGAAAGGGGCTTTGAAACGAGCCATTGGTCGCCAGCCATGAAGGAGGAAAGCTGGCAGATTGATTCTTCAACGTCTTGGGGAGACTTTAAGACTTTAATTTTATACCAGGCGCTCGTACCCTCCCTGTCCCCAGCCAGAACTCCGATTTTTCTCGGTTCCGGAAGTCTCCCTCACCTGAATACCGGATGGATCCCCCGCTCGGAGCTCCAGAAACTTGAGCCATTCCCGGCTTTCAATGAGCCATTTGATGGATGGGAAGTTGCGTCGGGCATGGGGGGCCCGTCCCTTTTCTCGTCCTAGGGAGACCCAAAAGGGAGACTTTTCTCGCCCCAATTTCGCTGGCTCCGCCTCCTTCTCGTTTTCTTCTTTGGGGTTGTAGGTTAAGCGGCAGAGAGATGGTCACGCAGAGGGGGATGCCCTCTGGGATGGCTGCCACGGCCAAAGTCACCGAGACGAGGATCATGTAGAGCCAGGCCTCCGCTGACCACACCCCGACACCACGGGGGTCTTCCATTTGCTGAAGCCGCCTGGAAAAAATGAAAATCCAGTAGTGATGGATTCCATTGAAAACAAACAATTGAACATAAACAATAGTACGCACAATGGAGGGTTTGCGTAAAAAGAATACGTCGATTTGGCCAAAAACAATGCGTGTGTCCCCTTGGTGGCCTAAAAACCGACCGAAAGAAGAGAAGCCTCAAAATCGATTGAACACGAGATAGTTCTTCCCGAACCATTCAGCAACACAGCTGATTGTAGGGCTGTCGCAAAGCAAAAAAAACACACACACACACACACGCACACCGATGTTTCATGTGAACCAAAATTGGGAGAAGGTGAACCAAACAGGCCTTAGTTTGCCTTTCTGAGAACAACGAAACCAATTCACCGGCCGAGTTGCAGCGCTCTCAGGGTTGCTGGGGTCTTTGCGATCGGTGACCCAGCCGATAATGAAGATTCCCACCTCGGACATGGCGGGGCGGGGGGACGGCAGGAAACGGGGAGGGCCCAAACAAACGACCAAACATGACACAAATCTGTTGAGCAATGAAGGCAAATAGACGACAGAGACCACTATGCTTCAAGTCCGCTATCGTCTTCCTCTTTCGCTTCAGGGAAAAAACTGCGGGGCCGTTGTTTTGCACATGAGTGCTTTTCAGAGATGGTCATTTTGAGCTGCATCCCATGCTCCTGCAAAGGCATCCCATACACCCCAAAGACCCGCATACACTGGCAGCATTGAACAAGTCAAGGACAGCGTGGCAGGTTTCAGGCACAGCAGCCACTGGCCAGGTCGCAACTGTTTGCCTTCTTTCGCGAAAAAAGGAAATCCCTGAAACGGAGGTCGGCCCTTCGGCTAGCATCCCAGCCCGGCATGGGAAACGCCAAGCCGCACAAATGACGATCGCCAGAATGCCAATCCGGGCACCTGCGAGGCAAACCACCTCAAAGGGACTCAAAAGACCGCAGCGCTTTAGTCATCAATGTGCATGCATGAATGCAGGAAGTCGAAACCTGAAGCAAGAATCCAAGTAGGATCACCCGTATGAGAAAGGCGCACAGCACGGCCAGCCGTACCCACAAGAGGAGACCTGCCCTCTCCTAAGTTGATGTCAGCAGCAGCAGCACTCAAAGAAATCCACCTGAATTAGCCTCATTTCCCACCCCTGCAGAATCAATCAAAAGTCCAAATCCCCGTGCCATGGTCGGAATGTTTTGCTAGCCAGGTCTTTGTGGGAAGTTTCTGCAGCAAATCTTGACCGAACCCCTGCCAAACTTCCCCTTTGCTCGTTTCCTCGTTGATCCGTTGCAACATGCGCGCAATCTCCTCCGGTCCCAAAACAGCCGGCCAACTCCACGCCATGGGCGAAAACATATGGCCGTGGGTCAAAATCCAAATCGTACCCCTAGTGAACATCAACAAATTCCACCCACTAAATTCCCGGTTCTAAAATGGGTGGTGAATTCACCTACCCAACAAAATGGGATCCCAAAGCGGTTTTGATCACCTCCATATGGGACGCGGATTGCCTAGCTTGTTCAGGTTCTGCTGCAGGGGCGTCTGGTTGGCTGAGGTGTCCGGGAAGCAGAAGCAGGTCGTCTTGCCCGCGCCGCCCTCGGGTTTTTGGGCGGGCGTCGCGGCGCGGGAATCGGGAAGGTCCAAAAGGAGTCTGAGGAATCGGGTGCTTGGTTATAGGGGGCTGCACAAAAATAGCGCCCTTGTACATCCCGTACGGCAAAAAATGGAGCCCTTGTAAAATAATCAAACCAAAGCCAGGATACCGGTCCTGGGAAGTAGTTAAAGGGGGAAACCCTTCCAAAATTCTAGCCCTGTGGCTCCTGGTCATTTTCCCAAAGCAAGCTTTCAGGGCTCCCCACATATCGCCTTTCAGCCTAATCACTGCGAAAGGTCGTGTCGAGCTTTCTTCGAGTCTTCGGGATTTTTGGAGAGGCTCCCACACAACGGGGACAGCGGTTTGCAGAGGGCAACGGCAACCAAGGAAACCAAGCAACAAGGGGGCCATTTGTTGGTTTTCCAAATTGGGTCCCCTATACGAATTGTTGATGGCCTCCATGTCCTTGCAGAACTCCTGGTGCTTTGCTTTGCCTCTTTGGGGGCCAGGCCCCGGCTCCCAGCTCCGAGTCCTGCCCCCTTCCAGCGCGCAAAAACCACGAGGGGGGAACATATTTCGAACCCTGGTTGCTTGGTTTCCTTGGTTGCCGTTGCCCCTCTGCAAACCGTTGTCCCCGGCGATTGCTAACTCTGCTCCCCTGCCAAAAGTGTTTAACTTTTAGTGAATTTGTAGAAAACCCACTCGTTGGCAAAAAGTCATTTAGTCCTAACATCCCTTGGCAAAATGCGGCAAAAAGCAGGGAGCTGCTTTGGGCAGCTCCAAAGCTTGCACGAAACTCTGCCGGGCCGCATCCCCGTTGATCAGCTGGGCGATGCGCCCGATGCCTGGGCTCGAGAATTGGCGCCCGTTCATGGAACCCTCCAACTTGAAGGTGCCAAAGTGCGCTTCTCGAGCAGTTTCCCACAAGTAACAAGATGGGTGGCTTTTCATTGCTCAAAGCCAGCAGCCAACTTTCAAGCCTGATTGGAGTGTTCCTCTTGAGGCCCGAGCTGCCATCTTTGTGGGAGATAGGCGTCGTGTTTGTGGGAGGCTGGGTGGAGGAAATTATAGCAGGCGCTCTGTTCGAAGGGGGGCGGTCTTTGGCCCACGCCCAGATAGCCAAAGAAGCGACTTCTCTGATGGCAACAGGGCTCCCTGTTGACTCAAAGATAACTTCTAGAGGAACAAACCGCGGACCCTGCTGCGCGGCACAAACAGATACCAGGGTCGACAAACCTGTGAGCTCCTGAGACGGGAGGTGAGCATCGAGGGTGGACATGATGCATCCCCTTTTCGGCACGTCTCCTGAATCACTTGTAAAGAACCGCCTGGCTCCAACCTGGGCCCAAAACTGGTCGAGTCTAAACGTACCCGCTTCAAACCTGCCCGGGTGCTTTTCTAAGGCGGTGCCGGCGGCAACTGTGCTGAGATTCTGGTTCAGAGTCAGCTTGGGCTAGATTCAGGTTTCTAGTTCTCGGTTTTACACCTTTCATTTTTTACTACCTTGCATTAACAGTTGAAAATTGCCTACGTTGCAAGCCTCTCTAAGTCACCTCTAATAGTGGTGGGTTGAGATGGAAAGGGCCCCAACTCTGAGTTTAAAAAGCCCAATCAGCCCAAAGACAAGCCGTTTGCAAGGGAGGGGTCCCCAAACTTCACAAATCTGGGTGACGCACCTCCCCAAATCCCAGGATTTGCTGGACATCGGCGTGGGGAGAATTCTGTCGAACCCTTTGGGAGCAAAAGGGAGAACGGTCTTCCAGTTTTGAAGTCCAACCAAATAAGTCAGAAGAGACCCGCTCTCTCCCTACTAAATATACATACACACACACATATACACATATATATATATATACATATTGCGATACACATACACATTACACAACCGAAGTAGTCTTACACATCCTTCCAAGAATACATTGATCACATCTCTCTGTCATTGTTTCCCTCAAAGTTGGTTTCTTCCCCATCCATCCATCTGTTCGCCTTTCCCCCTCACTCCTTTCTCTCTCTCTCTCTCTCTCTCTCTCTCTCTCCCAGCTCTCGCGATTCGAGTCCCAAAAAATGGCGTTCTTTTGTTTTTCTCCGAGTTTCGAGTTGGCATCATAGGTGGCCTTTTGGCAAAATAGATGGACCCGGTGCATGGAACAAACCCCATCGAAACCAGCGCCATCTATTTCTAGCGAAACTCACCTAAGAAGGACTCCTATGGTGGGCAGTTTTTTGGGGGAAACCGCTTAAGGGAAACCGCCGGAAAAACCCGCCCAGATCTCCGGCGAAAGGCGGGTGCTCATCCCGGTGTCCACCACCAGGCCCATGCCCGTGCCGCTGGTGATGCTGCAGCCCGAGAAGGCCATGGTCTCCGGGGTGAGCCTCGGCCCATATTACGTCAAGTCTTCACAAGGTCGACTTTTTCACAAGTCCTTCGGGCAAGTGAGTCTTGGGAAGATGGTTCGTGTGCAGAGGTAAGGTTTGCCAGCCTGAGCATTCCCTTTTGGTGGCTGCAGGGCTGGGGCACATCTAATGCCCTGCAAACGCAATCGGGCACCTGGATTTTTTAGGAAGTGGTTAGCCACCTGGGCTACAGTCGTCGCGCTTGAAGCGACTTGTAAATGGGTCAAGCCTAGGCCGTCCAAAAGTCTAATCGGATCCTAGGTTTCCCCAAATGCATCATGTGTTTTTCACCCAGGTCACTTACGGCTGACTAACTTCGCCGAACACGCCACTTGAGGGGTCCCCCCGCGCCATGGACACTTAGAGTTTATTTTGCAGCATGAAAGAAGGCTACACCCTAAACACACAGGTTGCGGATTCATCCAGAGGCCCCCCCTAGTCAAAGGACCCCCCTAAATAGATCACTTCCTTACTAAAAGAGAGCCACCCTTGATTAGTGCCGTCCTCCTGGTTTATCCAAGGTTGACATTGGCCAACCCTTTTCCCGGGTGATTTCTTGGATTTTTCGACTCCCTTCGCGGTTGAGAAGAAGGACAGGGTCCAGAACACAAAATCATACGATGACTGTTTGAACAAGAATGTTTTTTCTTTTGAGAAAAGGTGGTAAGTCCAAACTGCTGGCAGGGCAACGCAAAATTAAAAAGGCACTGGAAAAGGCACTCAAAAGGCACCGGAAATGGCACTGAAAAGACACTGGAAAGGCACTGGGAAAGGCAGCACTGGGAAAAGCACTTTGGAAAACCAACTTTTCATTTTGCGGGGTCTTAAGGGGGAAGAAACTCTGTGACTTTCCGGGGGCCAAATCCCCAGTTGCGACACATGCCCAAGTGGGACAGGGCGCTTCTCAGGCTGGCCCTCCTTCTTTTCCTTCACCCTGGCAGTCTTGGCCACGTCGTCCGGCTCTCCTGGCACGGGGCATGGGAAACCGTGCCATGACAAAAGGCAAGGTGCCCATACTAACCTTCCAATCGCCGATGTGTTCGCTGCTTCGCTCAGCTGAAAAGAAGCCAACACGGGACACTGCGTAGTCTTGCAGAGCCGGTATTCAATACCCATTTATAGTATGAAGAGGGTTTCTACAATCCATCTCCGCACTCCTTGTTCTAGTTGAAACCCTTGGCAAGTGGCCAGCTGAAGACCGATCCGTATCACCCCGCTCTCACTTTGGGCTTGGTCTCCCTGGAAAAACCTGGGTGTGGCCTGAGGCCTGTCAGTCTCCCCCTTAGATAGGGACGGGGCTTCTCAAGGGATACATGTGGCTCATGGATGTAAAAATTGACCTTAGTTCATATATTTGTTTATTCATTTGTTTGTTTGTTGTTGTTTTTTTTAAGGAGACAATAAAAACATTTTTTTAAGAAGACAATAAAAACAACTCAGCTTGAGATTTGGCAACAAAGTGGTAGTTCAAACCAAACAAGTAAGGGACCTTCCTCATGGGGCCCGACATTCACCATGGGGCCCGAATAGGCTGATCCACACGGGCGTGGAACATCACCCCTTCAATGATACCAAAGTGGGCCGTGACTACTTCATCACCATATCATACAGGCCTTACCCTGTTATCAGGCCTTACCCTGCTATCAGGGCCCATTTTGGGGCCCACGCGCGGCTCATTTTATGGATCAGTGGCCCTCCAAGCGCTTCCCCACGTCTCCCACGTCCAGCGGGCACGTCGCTCGCGCCTGTGAGCGCCATCTCGCTCACCTTGAAGTCCTTAGCCTCAAAGAGCCGCACATCCGCCGGCACCACGTCGCCCGTGCCCAGCACCACCTGACGGCAGCTGCTTCTCCGAAAAACCTCTTTGGCCGCCCCTTTTCAGCGGGGGTTGGACCATTGGATTGGTGGTTTGGCGGTTACCCGGTTAAGGAGGGGTTCCCCTTTACCCCTCTACAAGAACCAGGAGTTGAAATCCAGCTTGGTGTGGACCCTTGGATTGGTGGCTTGGCAGTTTAGGAGGGGAATTCCCCCTTTACCGAATAAAAAGAACCAGGGGCTAAAATCCGAATCCAAACCACCAATCCACATCACCAAATTCGGGGGTACCTGAACTTTGGAGCACTCCGGAGAACAACAACGATCACCTGAGGGGTACGTCCCCCCGTGTGGCGGCCGAAAACAGAAGAGTCAAACCACAAACTGTTGCAGACCCTTGGTTGACTTTACAACCTGGGTGCTAAAGATGGGGGGGGTCTGGAAAATCGACGAATTACCCACCCCAGTTTCAGCTTCCCCTTTGGGATATGAGGAATTTTGGGCTGTTTGCCACAAATCGAGCCCAAAAACTTGAGAAAAGATGCCCAAAATGTCCTTTGGGCATGGCGCAAATCCAAACTTACGCCAACCCCACGCCCTGCCACGGGCGATTCATGACGCTGAGGTCCGAACAAACCAAGGGACCCAGCCCGATGTGCCAAGCCCTAAGAAGTACCCAAAACGAGACCTTGATGCACAATGGGTATGATAAGTGTTTGTTGGGTTCCCTGTTTCTTGGGTGCTGTAGATCCCCCAGCAAAAAAGTTCAACTTTTTGCTGGTCAAAAGGAAAGACAAGGAGAATCCAAAAAGTTAAAGTCTAAAGATCCAACCCAATAGCAGTACAGGTTTGTGCACATCATTTTCACAGCGGCGTATGTGCAACAATCACTTTTTCCATTTCATCCAACCTTGACTGAGTGGTCAATCGGCCTAGAAACACAAACATGCCTAGCGTACAGTTTGTAAGGAGTTGTGATTTGCCTCTTTGTTGTTGCAAGCCCACGTAGCAGAAGGAAGGAAGGAAGGAAGGAAGGGAAGGGAAGGGAAGGGAAGGGAAGGGAAGGGAAGGGGAAGGGGAAGGGGAAGGGGAAGGGGAAGGGGAAGGGGAAGGGGAAGGGGAAGGGGAAGGGGAAGGGGAAGGGCAGGGCAGGGAAGGGCAGGGAAGGGAAGGGAAGGAAGGAAGGGGGGAAGGGAGGAAGGGGGGAAGGGAGGAAGGGAGAAAGGGAGGGAGGAAGGGAGGAAGGGAGGGAGGAAGGGAGGGAGGGAAGAAGAGAGGAAGGGAGGAAGGGAGGAAGGGAGGAAGGGAGGAAGGGAGGAAGGGAGGAAGGGAGGAAGGGAGGAAGGGAGGAAGGGAGGAAGGGAGGAAGGGAGGAAGGGAGGAAGGGAGGAAGGGAGGAAGGGAGGGAGGGAGGGAGGGAAGTGAAGGGAAGGGCAAATTTGCACCCCACAAATCATACCCCTACGTCCTCTCAGCTTCTGTTTGGGCCAAGGTGCCACGTCGCCACACACCACGGTGGGCACCGCGACCTGCACCTCCTTCCCATCGCGCATCACCTGGGCGGGCCCAAATCGATGTGAAGCTCCCAAGTGGTGTTTTGTTTCCCGTTCCCCAAGCCCAAAGGAAACCGGAAACATCCTAATCAGTGAAACCCTTCGAGCGTTGAACGAAAACCTGAAGGAAAGGGGTGGGAGCTGCGGGGCTCATGGAACTGCGTAACTGCAAACGCACTGTCCATGATTCAGGGGATGGAGGTGTCACATCGATCGCCATTTCGCAGCCGCAAAAATGTGAGAAATCCAAGTGGGAAAAGGTACATACCTCGAGCATGATCTGTCTGTGGGTCAAAAGTAGGTATCCAAAATGGAACCCAGTGAACGTAGACCGAAAACCTGCGGTTAGACTTTGACCCATAACCAGCTCACTATACTAGTGACCAGTATGAATCTAGCAACTTGTTGCCAGGGAAAGTGGGGGAATGAATAGTTCTCACGGAAGGTTTGTGAACACCTGCCCGAAAGCCTTCTTCCTGAACCTGTTGGTCATTAAATTATGGTTTCTGAGATGGCTTCCAGCAGACACCCTGGGGGTAGCTTCGGTTTGCGGGAACTGGCAACCATTAGAGGGGACCTATGCGCATGGCTTGTGTGACGGAAAGGAAAAGCATGTCTGGCTGGAACATGTTCCTAAAATCTTTCAGCCAAATGGGATGTATCCAGTCACGGGTAGAAGGTGACAGGGGGTGACTGGCGTGTCCATGTTAGGATCCGCACCACGTTTTGGCAGGCGGGCCACCCCCTGAACAAGCTTCCTTCCCATTGACAGGAATTGCACGTGTCCCTGTTCCTCCTGAGCCATTGCAGGTCAGAAGCTGTGCAAGGTGCTTTCCTATTCACGTTGGCTGAGTCAACCACAGCAGTGAGGCACGGCAGTGTGGCTCAATCATGAAATCATATAACTCTGCCTGCCTCTCGGTCCGCATAAGCCTTCGCTAGAGGGGATCTGAGGCCATCACATAGATGGCGGCCTGCGTCATCTTGGACAACCTCGGCCGCACACTGCACCGAAGGGGAGACAAAAAAGGACCCCAACCTAAAACACTGGAGACATGGCTAGACCCCCTTGGGAATTGTCGGTAACTCCAGAGTTCAGCATATCTCAAAAACAAAAGCCAGCAAGGAAAATAGGGTTTCTTTGGTTTTCTGCAAAAACCAAACCCCCAACAAGGGCCTTCCCTCACTCACGCCGATTTGGCGCCACCTGAGTTCCCCGGCGCTTCCAACGCATCGCCGGCCTTGTGCTCCGTCCACGCCGCAATGCCCGCGTTGATCAGCACGATGATGCCCTAAGTATGTTCGCTTCCCTACCCTCCGTCCATGTGAAAAATAGGGGGCACGCAACAAAATGCCGGCTTTTCTTTTGGCTTTCCTTTAACCGAAGCTCCCCCTTCCTGGCAACAAGTGCACAAACCACGGTTCCTACGCACCATGCCCTTGGAAGCGTCCGATCCCGGGGATGTCGGTAGCCTATTTGGGTGACCCGTATGGGTTCAAACCCAAGGCTTGCCTTTCGGATGCGACACACATGTCCTGCAAGCGATCAGAACCTATTGTTTCGAACCCGCTCGGGTTGCCAGCCTATGCATGAGGTAAGGGTGCATACATACGTACATACATATATATATATATATTATACATATATACTATATATATATATATTGCGTAGATGCAAACCTTGCCCTCGCCCACCGAAATTGCAATGTTGCCACAGAACTCAGACAGGTTCCATGTTCATGGGAGGGCATCTTTTGTACAGGTTCCAGGGGGCCTTCAATGGCCAAACATCCGGATCTTACATACCAAACCCTGCGAAAATACAGTCCACTTAGAAAGGTGGTTGGAAGCTCATATTTCTCTGAAAGGGGCCACTTCAGGTTCATGTGTTTTGCTCATTATTCTGTCAACAAGGTCACTGGAAAAGAAAGTCTGTCTGTGAGTGCTCTCTTGGCCGCATTGACTGTCGCACAAGCGCCGGCTGCCCGCCGAGCAGCGATCGCAATGCCTGCAGATGCAGAGCAGGCGGTGGGGATTCGAATCCCAGATGCACGGCCCCACGACCCGCGAAGAAAAGCCACAAAAAAGAGGTGCTGCCGGGAGGGGAGGACATGCCTGAGGGAACGTAATCTTCCCTGCCCCTGTATGGACAAGGGGGTGGTTTGCCATCTTCTTAAGGGTACGTAGTACGTATCTGTTGGTGTCTGGGCTTGGCTTGCCTCTACAATCCAAACCCAGACAAGGACGTACCAACACAACCCCGGCGACAATGTGGGTATTTGCGAAGGTGCGATGTGCCCCTGGCCACTTGGCTATGAGCTTTTCTTGGGGACACTCGGCACAATTTTCCCATGTAGGTCATGTCCACCAAAGGGTCCCTAATTGAAAGTCATACCCACTGGGTGCCCTCCCAAAAAAAGAAAACTCAAACCAAAAAGGAACCCAGTTCAGGTGGCGTACCGGCCACACCCCGGAAAAGCCCAACTACCACCAAAACTCTTCAGGGCCCAGTGTATGGGATCGGATCTCCCCATCTCATCCCGCCCTTAGCCCACCCCGCAGCTCACAACCCCAGCTCCAAAACCGAACCGACTCCGCGCCTGTGGTGTAGGACAACGGGTCCGCTGCCTTGGGCCCAGTGGCGTTCACCAGCACCGAAGCCACGGCGGAGACCATCAGCAGCACGATGATGAAGCTGGTGAGCCTCGTGCAGGCAGGCGCGGGCAGGGCGTGCGGAGGCGAGCGCACAGGCGCCAAGGTGGGGAAGGAGAAAAAAAAAAGGACGGGAGCGATTTCTGTGTGGGACCTGGGGTTAACAGAGTTTATCTGGGTTTGGCTGGTTGAATGAAAACAACTGCTCAGCCCCCTTTTTCGTGTCCCTTTGGGGATATGTAAACAAAGCATGAACAACCGACTGATCCCGTGTAAAGGGAAACTTTTGAAACGGCAACCAAAAGCTTGCGTAGAGGCGGCTAGCTTCCGCCCAACTAAGAATCAAAGGGCACATCTCTTTCAGGCCTGAAAAAGGTCCTTTGGTGCCCATTCATTCCTTTTGGGGCGAAAAGGATAAAGCCCAACCACAGGCACTCCATGGAACCCATTCGACAATCGTGGAGGAGTTCCTTTTGACGCGTAAACCCACAAGGACCTTCGGTGCTGGTCCCGGCAGGTAGGTGGAACTTCTCAAAGGAAAAACCGCTCAAAAGCGCCCGTTCTGCGGTTGGTCATGTGACAGCGGCCAGACCTATGTGTTTTTTTTTGCGGGACATGGGAAAGAAAGCCAGCATGTCAAATGTCTTGAGTTCCCTTTCCTGAACCCCAACTGGACCACAGACAAACTAGGGAATGCTTGACTGAACCTCACGTACACGCACTGCCTGTCCTGCTTCTAAAGAAACCAAGAGGAAAACCATCAATTCCTGGGATCCCCAACTTTAAGACACAAAGAACATGAAAAGGGCGCTTGGGTTCTGCGCCGGCTGGAGGCCCAAGGGATTTGGTCCAAGGGGCTGCATCAGGAAGAGCAGAAGCAGAGTGGGCTTCGGCGGCTTCTCCAGCTCGTTCGGCCCATCGCGCTCCAGCACTTCCTCATTCGATTCGAACTCGCGTCCCGAGCTCGGGGGGGGGGGGGGGGCGTGGTCGGCCGTCTCGCGGCGTAGTTGCGGCTAATCTTACTAGTTGGTGGTGGTTGGATTTTCGAAAGTCGCTTGGGGATACTGGTTGTTTGTGTTTTGGGGGCAACTATGCGTTTGTTTTTTTGTTGAATGTTCGACCCAAACCAGAAGGCTGCGAAAACAAATGAAATTCGTAAGGCAAGCTCGAATTGGTAAACGAGGCAAAGGAAGACCATCCGGGTTTTTCGCGAAAGCGGCCTTTCTGTGTCGCTCTTTCAACACAGTCAGCAGTCCAACCCTGTATTTTGAATTTGGCGTTCTCGTGTCAACGCCAAACTATGCTTCGCATGCACCATATGTCTTCTGCGTTTCTGTGTCTGCCCTCGCTGCAAGCTGAAACCGCGGCTTCCGGCAAGAAAAGCCCTGGAAGTTGTGTGGCTGCACGCGATCGTGTTTATCTGCCACCCAAGGGCTGCGGCCTTCTTGCTGGAGAGTCCCTTCTTCAGGTCCGTCTTGTATGACTTCGCCAGCTCCTCGATGGGCTTCGCCTGCAAGCGGCTGCAAACGGGGCGCGCAAATACGTGCTGTTTTTCTCGGAGCGTGTGAAAAAGGGAGAGTCTTGGATGTTCTTTTGGCTTGGCACCCTGCTCTCTGACAAGGTTAAGAAGTCTCGCCAACAGCTGGAACCTTCGGAAGTCTCCCAAAACCCACTCGCAACGTAGGATTGGCTCACTTCCATCATCTTAAGAAGGCAACCCCTGCCCCCGCCAAAAAGCCGGCAGCAACACACACCATGGGAGGGAAACTGGACAGTCTTGGCACCGTGCGCTCGAAATCACTTGCCCCAAAGGACGGCCAATTTGTGGTTTGGAGGTTTAGAGGAGTCCTCTGCTTTGGTGTTTCAGACGAAACTCGGGGCTGATATTCCGGCAGCATGGTGACAAATGCCCATCAAATCGCGCTGGACTCTTGCGGGCCTTTCCATTCCCAGATGATTCCTCCCGGAAACATGTAGCCAATAAAAACAGCACGAAGCGACACAAGAACAACCAAAACAAGAAAACAACGTACAGTCACAGAACATCACAGAACACCAGAAAGAAAAAAGGAGAAACTCTAAGACGCTAAGGACAAGTAAAGAACAACCCAGGCCAAGTGAGTTCTTGCAGCCAAGAGGGCCGCATCAGCTGTCTGCTTCTCCTGCGTCTCCGTCGCGCTTGGCTTCTTCTGATCCTTTGACCTCGGCTTTCGAGCGAAAGCGTCGACTGCAAAACACAACACTGACCCTTTCCCAACTCAACGGGTGAACACTTCACCGCAAAAGTGGAACCCAGCGAACTGGCATTTGTAAGGAAAAATCATCTGCTCCGTTTGGGAAACTCTCTTTTTTGTTCTGTCCCTTGGCCTCCGCCCCACACACACAACATTTTGGTTTCGGGCCCCACTGGTGAACCCATTCAAGGGTTCAAAATATCAAACGAGACCCCGTTTCAAACCTGCCCCGGATGCCTGGGCTTTGAGGATGGTTTGGCCCATCCAGGGGGAAAAAAAAGGTATACCCTGCGTATAGCGGCTGCATCGTATCTCCCATGAAACCTCCTATTCCTGGTAGGGTTGGGGCTGAAACTTGCTGGTGCACAGTAGGGAATGTGGGAATGAACCCGGGGATTCTCTGGAAGGAAACCACCAAAATGGCTTATAAGGGTCATTCCCTCCTTCCCCGCCTCTCGCACCAGCAAGGAAACCCTAGACGCGTCCAAGGCACATGCCTTCAGAGTCAAAGGCTTTGGAATGCTTCGAGCCCAATGCGGCTGCAGGTGCACGGCTCTGTTCGATGAATTCTCGGGGGTCGGAGGGGGCTGTTGGATTCAAACGGGTTGGGGACGGATGGCCATCCGTCTACACCCATGAGAAGCTGAAGTTGGTTGATTCCCGATTCTCTTCAGCCATCCTTCTTTTCAATCAAAAAAGGCCGTCCCGGAAAGAGCGCCGGAGGCTTCCCCTGGACTGATGTCCGGGCCTTGCTTTGAACCCCAAGCCTATGTTTGACCTCCGGCCGAGAAACCGGGGACCCTTTAAGTTTTGGAGGGTGCTCCCCGAAGTGGAAACATGGGAAAATGGCCGTCAAAAGATTGCTATTTTTGCGAATCAGCACGCGTATCCTCCAATAGTTGCACCTGGACCAAGGGGCTCGCACTTAAACTTGAACGGACTCCAAAAGGGAAAAGCACATAAGACCAAAACACCCTAAATCGATAGGGCCTTCCCTTTCTACCTCCAGGTGAGCTCGCCATAAAATAGCCTGATGCAAAAGTACCCCAGGGATTCATCAGAGCCCTGGAAGAAACAAAATCAACACTAGGGAGAAACCCTAAGATCTCCTTCTCAGAAGGTTGCAAGACCCTTTCCTGCGGGGTGGGGGCCTTGTCCAAACCCAAAAAAGCACCTTCCCCATTGGGCCCCCTGAATGAATGGAATGCTAGTCTTCCAGGCGCCTGCAGTCACGTTCCATGTCTTCTGGACCCCTGTTGCCCACTGGGGAACCCTGGAAGAAAAGGAAGGCGTGCACAAAGCTACTGGACAAATGTGCATCCAGAAACCCACTCTGAAGAGCGGCAAACACAGCGGCCCAACTAGTTAGCCATGTTGTCAGCCATGATTACAAAGGTAAGCCATTAGAAAATGGTTTGCTTAGCACTCTTCTGGTGGACACCTCACTTCCTGAGCGGATCGGCCAGAAAAAAAGAAGAAGAAAAAACTAAACTTTTCGCCCGCCGCTAAAATATGACGCAACCCCCAAAAAGTCCAAAAAAGTCCATGAGCTTGCCCAAGAACCTGAAGATTAAAAAAAACAAAAAGCCGCCGGCCGGTGCCAACCTCCCTTCCGTCCGCGCTGCAGCCGGGGCCAGCCCGGTGCCAGCTTCAGCGCCTTGTCCGCGTCCAGCAGCGCCTGCGATGAGTTTTCGGGCCATCGGAGAATCCATGGGCCCAAAGACCTCTGGCCTCTTGGGGAACTCACCTTGTTTAGGTTTGATTTACATGGAATCACCTTGTTTTCCATGGAAGGGTTTGGAAAAAAGGTGTAATCACCTTAGTCTTGTTTGGGAGGTCCTAGTGGGTAAACTAGCCTCCCCAGGCGATTCCATGGAAGCTCCCCAGCCCGAAGAAAAACTTGGGGCTATTCCAGGGATGGTTTTACGTGGCTGTGAAGTTCAGTAAGGAACCACCTCGAAAGTTGTTTTGTTTGTTGTACAACCGTCTCGGAAACCAATCCTCAAGAGTGGTCGGTGGACCTCTGCATCCCAACACAAAATGTCCAAACCCGGTATGTGCCCATGGTCGAAACTCCGTTTCTATGGTGTATGGCCATGTTTCCCTTAACAGCAAAAGTCTATAATGGTCATTCAGGATCCTTACCTTGTGGATGGCCATCCCTATTATATAACGCCGAGTACAGGAACCAGGGAGCCCTGGGCCCAAGGAGTTCTGACCGTGGCACCTATGCGAAGTGGTTGCTGGTTGGCCCACTGGACGAAATCCACTTCGCACCGGTTGGAATGAATACAACAGCCCCCTACGAGGTGCGAGGTGAACCCGCCCGAGACTTGATTCTGCGCAAAAGGTGTCTCAACATTTGAGGGGATCCGTGCAAACCCTGGGATCTGAAAATTCATGGATTCCTCATCTTCCCCTACCCCGATGGGACACCGCTGCAACAACGGAAAGAGGATTAAAGATTGATGTTGAACAATCCCCCATCAACACGGAACCCAGAAAGGGAGGCCCCAAAACCAGGCTCCGATGACAGCCCTTCTGGGGCGCTCCAATCTGGAGGGTGTTCAAAAACTTGCTGGTGCAGCGACCGAATGAGGGAAGGACCCAAGGGAATCCCTGGGTTCATTCCCTTACTCCCTACTGACAGAAGAAAAGAAAGGGTCTGAATGTGGGACCCAGAAGGGCTTTTTCCCCCCTAAGGGTTTCACAAGCACAGGCAGGCGCCTGCTTCTCAAACAACCCCCTATGGTTGCCGCCAAGCGCCCCCGCCACCGCAGTCCAGACCGTGTCTTTCTCCAGCGCCCGCCCATCGAGCCGAGGAGTTCCCCGAGTTTGATGGCCAAGCGGTTTGCTTAGCGCTCGTTTTCTGAGCCCAAAGCATCACGTCACGCAAATGCCCCACCCCCAGCCGGCAGATTGACATGGAACACCAAAAATCCGCCAGTTTTTGAGGAAGCGGCTTTGCCCCCGCCCTGGGGATTCTGATCGCGACGGTCCCAGCCAACTGCATCCGAATTGCGAATTACGTCAAACTCTCGGAGTCTCGGGCTTGCGGCCCTTGGATCACTCAAGGCTCCACCAAGCAAAGCCTCCTCTTCGGCAGCATCTCCAACAAGACCCCGCCCTCAACGCTCACCGCCTTCGATGGCCTCCGCCTCTTGCAGGGCCTCGCCAGCTCCCTCAGCGCTCGCTCCGCCTTCTCACTCTTCGCCTGCTCCAAGAGGGTTCCTGTCTGGTCCTCCAGGGTCTTTTGGGTCGGGCAGTTTAAGGGAAACCTCTACCACTGAACATACCTTGCAATCTGGCGGCCAACCTGGGTCAAGAAATCGCAAAGAAAGTCAAGCTTGAAATTCACCAGGGGGTCAATCCCAACCAGGAAAAAGCAACGTCAAACCCAACAAATGGTTCTTGCAAGTCAAAGCTCAAGCATGCCCGTGAACTTCCCAGGGCCACCCTCGGGTCTCCTCTGGCGTCTCCGACCGAATCGTGCCGAGCACAGCACTAGCGGGCGCCGGCACTTGCAACCCGTCTGCCTCGGTCGTCAACGGCCTCTCCCCCTGCACCCGACCCTCTGCAACCACAAGTGTAAAACAACAACGGGCCTGGAAGAAACCACCATAGACAACCCCATTAGTGAACGCACAGCAGTGTTTCTCAAACTGGTGGACCCCCTGTTGCTTGGCACTCAAAGGGAAACCGAAAGGAAACCAACCAGTTTAGGGCACCACTCTCTTATTTTGAAGACCCCCCCACCCCTGCCCAACAAAACCACGAGAAAGAACAGAATCTGCTACTAGCTGCCTTGGCCGCCAGTCTGCGCGCCCGCGCCGCTCTCCGCGCCGCGCACAGGAAGAACGCCGCCAGCAGCGCGGCCCGGAGTTTCCGGCGCAGGGCCGCGCTCCGGGCCCGTTGCGCGGCACCGCGCGAGAGGAACCGCACCTGGGCCACGGTTCAACCATATTCATCCAACCACCACCACCACCACCACCACCACCACCACCACAACCACCACCGTACGGTGGCCTGTAATTGGCCAGAAAGAGTCCCTTCATCTCCCGAAAAAGTCTGGGGTCACTGGGCTTCCCCTTCAAAAGCTGATCAATTTGCTGGCTTGCATTGAGCCGATCCCCACTTTCCGAGCTCCTGAAATCCCAAAAAGGGACACTGATAGAGGGCGTTTGGAGGACCCCAATAATCTAACAACCTACGATTTTGCGGTGACTGAGGGGGTCGGCTCCCCGTCTTCCCCGGCCTTTTTTGGGGCCCACAGACCCACAAACCACGACCCGACCCCCGCCCCACCGGGCCAACGGGACTCCCGGGCCCCCGGGGCCAAGGCCAAGCTCAGCGCGTGGAAGGCGCGGCGCCACCGGAGCCGCCGGCTGCGCCTGAGAGGCGCAAAAAGTGCGGGGGCCCGCCCCTGCAGAACTTTTTTTAAAAGACGTTTATCTTAAAAGACTTCGATTTCATTTGCATGGAAAACGGTTCGACGTTCGGGGGTTCCGGTCCCTCAAGGAAAAAATGGTCCAAAGCAGGACCCCAGTTTACCTGGGAGTTTTTACGATAGCTTTTTAAAAGACGTCCACTTGCCTTCCATCATGTCCCAACAAGTGTGTACCCTCCCCCAGACAGTTCCATGGAAGCTCCCAATTCCATGATTGTTAGAGGGAGGGTGCCCATGACCATTTCAACAATTCCTCCATTTGCCCAAGGCGCCCAGTTTATCAAAAGACTTATTTCCATTTACCGAGGCCAATTGGGGGAGCTTCCAGCTGTTGGTTTGAGGGAGTAAGTCTAAGCATCCAGCTTCCATTTGCCTAAGTCGGCCCCCTGGAAAAAATGCGAAAATATGTCCAGTAGTGAAATCGATTCAGTTTGAAACCAGAAAAATAGTCTTAAGCAAATGGAAGAAGAGTACTACAAACAAAGGACAGAGGGTAGAACAGGTGAAATCCAGAAAAAGCGCGAGTCCAAACCGTTTTCTAGAGGGGTCCTACGTGAGCCAAGCCGAATAGGCCTTCTTCGGCCCCATTAGTCGCTATTGTTTGTTGTTTTTGGGATTGCGGGGGGGGGGGGGGATATCAACTCATGGCCCCTTTAAAGCGGGCGGCCCTTGTTTCTACCGATGTTGCCAGGTATCCAAAACCTGGTCTTAGAGGATGCCCTGGCAAAGGACCTTCGGGTGAGCTCAGCTTACCCCGAGATTGGCGAGCTCACATTTATTTTAGGCAGGGGGCATCCTCATTTGGGCAGTGTCCCCTTGGGAAAGCCAGAATTACGAAACCATCCCAAACGATGGGGCCACTTTGAGCAAGCACTTCATTGCAGGTTCAGCTTGCCATGCCCTGAAGGAAACAGGCCCAACGCACCATCCGTCGCAGGTTAGACGTAATGGAACTTGCCATGAGCGAAACTAACATTGACTGGGGGCAGTCTCACTGCCCACCTCTAGAGCGAGCTATCTTCGCAACTGTTAGCTGCAGCGATCGCCGCATGTTCATATTAATGCTGCCGAATGATGGCCAATATGCTCAGAAGGTCATTTGGCTGTGGGTCAAAAATAGGTGCCCAAAATGGATCCATGGCAACATGGACTAAAACCTGCGGTCCCATTCCTTTGGTTTAATTTTGACCCATAGCCATTTCCCACCGCCCAAGTCAGGTGACAGTCCCCGCCTGGCCGCCTCCTGCAGCAATGCGGGGTCTAAAGGCCGGTCATCTGCCAGCAGCGCCTGACTTCGGGAGGGTCAACTTGCCATGGTCGGGGCTTTCCAATCGGCTCTTTGGGGGCTGACGACCATGGGACTGAAGGACACCGCAAAATTACGAGTTTACGAACGGCAGGCTGTTGATCGAACCTCAAAACATTGATTCAGAGCCATAGAAAACGGAGCCATTTTTCAGCCTGGGGGCCGGGAGGGATTCAGGGACATAAGCTCCAACAGCCCTGAACCATGGCTGAACAAGGATATCCGCTAAATAACACCTGATGTGCAAGATCCTCCCAATCAGCTGGTAACGGTTGCATTCCTTTTTGAGGGACCTGATGAAGTATGTGTAAGATCAACTTGCTGTAGCGTGGACCTTCATGAAGGTGAGGTGGGTAGCCTAAAAGTGGTAAACGCTGTCAGGGAGTATCGTCACTTGTGTTTGTGCATTCATCTATTTAGGTACTTCTTGGCTACATGTCTTGAAGCATCGAGCAGTGCCTTTGTGTTCCTTTGGCTCTGGATCCCCCAATGTCCAAAGAGTCCTGGATTCCAAGTCTCAGAACAGCAGGCAGCGGGCTGAAGAAGCGGTTTCCCCAGCCCTACTGACACCACTTGCTTTTCTTGGAGGGCTTGGAATCCGCGGGCCGCACCTCCAAATGTAAGCAGTTCAGCAAACACATGAGTGTGGAAATGCATGAGAAGAAAAAAAGGAGAAACAAAAAAAGCAAACGCATGCGCATGCGAAGAGACTTTCTCCCTCTCGGATCTCCATGCAAACAACAACTTTTCAGCTCTCGGGCCGCCTGGGGTTGGGCCAGGGGAAGAAACCCCACAATGGAACTAGGCACCCATGCCATGGTTTGCCCCAGCGGCCCCATGTTTGTTCGTTGTTTTTGCGTGTGTTTTTTGTGTTTCTTTTCTGTTCTTTTTTTTGGGGGTGGGGGATTGAGAACAAAGTGCTACATTTGGGGGGGGGGGAGAAGGGCATGAACAAAGAGCAGCATTTTGCAGGGGGGCGAGTGCTTTGAAGTTCCCAGCAAATATATATATTAAAAAAAAAAAAAAAAAAAAAAAAAAACACACACACACGACGCCTCGAGGGCGTCGCGGTGGGCGGCTTTCAGGAAGAGCTGCGTGACGCCAACACGCCAATCCGATCTGGGCACCTCAGAAGGATTCCAAGAGGCAAGGGGAGGCTTAGCCCCGCTTGTAGGTCCTCAAAACTAGGGGTTTGGCCCAAAATGGGGAATCCCGAGTTTTCCCCTTTGCTTCCCTTGAAAGGTCTAGCCCCAAAGGCAGGCAGACCGGCCTGGAGGGCGACCATCAGCACCTCCGCCCCGACCCGCTCGGAAAAGCCTCGGCTCAACGATGAAACGAGACACACCCTGCGTGACTTTAACTTCTTGCTGAAAAGTGGTGTGGTTTCGCGTGCTCCAGGCAAAGTAGGTTAGTGCGAGGTGCTCGGGGGCGATAATTCCAACGGGGTTTCCACCCAGTGATGCCTAGAGTTGGCGTTGACAATGGGGCTCTGTGTCCATGTCCGCGCTCCAGAATGGTTGCAAAGGCGCCACTACGCCACAAGCGCTACCCATGGCAACATACCAGGCTCCATTGCACACAGTGATTGAATATGTGGGGCGGTGTCAATCTCAGTTGCCCAAAGGACCCAGAAATAAAGCGTTCACCTTTTGGATTCGCTTGCTTTGGGCAAGTGAACAAGCAAACTCAAGTAAAGTGCCATGGTGTGTCTTGGCTTTCCTCTTGGAGTCCCTCTGAAACCAACCAAACCGAGGATTCCCCTAAATCTATGGGATGATTCCCCATTCTTTTCAGCCATTGTTCTTTTCAAAATCTGGCCGTTTCCCCTGAGTTTCTGGAGGTGTTCTAGAAAGAAGGATCCTTGGAAAGAATGGGGTAGAAGCAGGACGACGAACCCATAGTCCCCGCTCTAATTCGCTGCGGGTTCCCCGAGAATCCTCCGGCCCCGCCAGCGGTTGGCCGAACGTTCGGCCCAGGAGCCGCCCGGAAGGCGAGCAGCCACCTCGCGAAGCTTGGGGTTTCCCGAGAATAGGAACCAGTAGAAACCGCTAAAACCACGCAGGCACCCGGTGGGGAAAATCCGGTAAAAAACGAAAGAAATCCCTCGGCAAGTAAAGGGTTGACTTGCCACCCACCAGGAGTGGATAAGACCTGCTGGCTCCAAAGAAACAAATGAAAAATATAGGTAGGATGACACTCAGATTGGATGTGTTCGTGCCACACATTTGCACTCCCAAGCCATGGAACCAGGAGACCTCCCTCACGGTGCGGAAAGACGAAAGCTGTGCTTTTGGGATTGGACCCAAGGATGTCCCAAACGATTTGGTCATCAAATGTTGTTTTCATGATTGGACATTGCAGAATGCGTGGTTTGTTCATGTCACCCGTTCGTGCTGCTTCAAGAAAATATGTTTTACTTTTACTTAACTATCATCGGCTTACATATGTACACACCGCCTAGATGCATTGATTGAACAAAAGCCAACAAGGCCGTAGGCCCTTTGGAGCAACCCGTGACCTAGACAGCCCAGAAAGACGCCAAGCGAGTCCCCCCAACCGCAAGCCGTGCCCAAACCCACACCCCGCCTGCTGGAGGCTGACTCGGTGAGGGAAGCCCCTCTGCATCACCTGCAGCACCTGGACGGTTTCAAAACGGGATGGGGAGCAAAATAGGAATCGGGTCCTTCAAGTGATTGGTTTCATTTTGAAGCGACCCTCAATGAGGGTTCCTTTTTGGATGGGTTTCTTTGAGGGGGGTGTTTCTCAATAGCAATGTCGGGGTCCAGTTTGAGAAACCATCACATCCCAAGGGCCACCCAGCGATACCGCGGAAACCCTGCCACTTGACAATCGTCGGTCCTTTTAAGGGAAATAGATGGCCCTGGCAGATGATTCCACCACCACCAGGTAAACCAGGGCCATCTATTTTTCTACCAAAACAAGCAAAAAGGACGCCCAATGCTGTTTACCTTTTCGCCCTTTTTGCGTTGAACATCCGGAAATCCAGGGGCACCCAGGCCAGGGACGCTACAAGCCACCACCCCTCGCAAGGGCCCCAAGGATCACGGGTGGACCAAGGTTGGGCAACAATCCTTGATCAAAACTCTAGACATCATGGGGTCCAGGGGAATTCTGCTGGATCAAAATGATTCGCCAGCGGGGCCAGCCGAACTGACCGAAAAGAAAGTGGCAACCTGCGTTTTCTTTTCGTCAGAAACGCCAATGGATGTCACCTGTAAGGTTGTGGCCATCCCAAAGGGTTCTAACCAGAGAGAGCACATTTGCAGACACATGTCGAACATCTCACATGTTTAGGTGTCTCTGTTCTGGACGGTCGCCCTTGCCTGGTGGTTTTACAGAGCAACCAAGGCTAGGTCCTCCAGTAGAGAGGTTAGAATACGGGTACCCTTTTTTCTGTAGTCTATTTTCGTAGGGGAGCCCCTCCCCAAAAAATGGTAAAAGGACACTTCTGGGGGCCTAGAAGGGGAAAACCCGCAATTTTTCGTCCAGCCTGATGCACCCCGCAGCCCCTGAGCTGCTGCAGCAAAAAGCCGCGGTCCACAAAGTCGGCGCTCTGCTCCTCAGGGCAGAACCAGGACTGAGATCCCCCGCTAAAAGTGACTAAGTTTTAGTGGGTGAAATGGAAACTACCATTAAACACTAAAAGGCTAAAAAGCTATGGAACCGGATGGCTGGGAGCCACCAAGAGGACGACGCGAAAAAACAAAAACGACCAAACTGCAAGGGTTCAGGTTTCCTGCTGTCGAACTACGACATCCGCAAACGGACCGCCTAAGAAACCCTGGGAAATGCCAAGAACCATGGTTTCAACCATGGGTTCAAAGTGGTGCCTGACTGCGTCCATCCACAGTACAAGTGGTGATTTGGAGCCCGGTGGTTTGTTCTCTACAAAAAATCACAAGTTCAAGAAACAACCTACTTCCTGTCCTCCCTTGACTTAATGGTCCTACTTCCCACTTCCTACTTCCAGTTCATCCCACCTCCCGGTTGCACCTCAGCTTCCGTTGCCCAAGGGAGAGCCTTTGAATGGTACGAAAAGGGCCCTTGGATGTGGATGCCAGGATGCTTCATGAAGGCCAGCCGGAAACTTTTTCCGCATACCCAATCCCCGGCGTTTGGCTAGGTTCCAGCAGGTTTGATAGACTGTTGCTGGGCCTTCCAGCATGGCACCGGGGTTGTCCTCAGATCCCCCGCAAAAGGCTTGACTGTTGCAAGTTTATATGCTTGAGGAGCGAGTGAACAAAAGCTAGCAGTTGTTGCATGAGATGGGTCGGTGACAGAGTGGATTCATGGGTAGCTTGTGTACAACGAGAGGCCCGGCAAGATTCGTAGGATGCGACACGCAAACGCACATGGTGGCGTGGCAAACCTTGAAAAATAAAAACAACGAGAGGCGTCAGAAGCTGTCTTAAAGCACTTCTGGGTTCTGCATGCTGCGTGTGCAACGATTCTTGCGAGGTGGTTTACTGAGAAGACTGAGGTCTCAAATGAACAAGCTGAATCGGTGGAACATGTAAAAGTTCGTAGCACCAAGTCCAAAACGGGCAAACCGAGACTGCTGAACACTGAGCCACTGCCAGGGGGGGGGATGGACCAGGGAGGAATCGAGCCTGGGGGGGGGGAGGGGGGGGGGTCTAAATAATTGATGTGTTTCAATCTTTTCGGCTCAAATTATTGAAAAAATCAATCTTTCGGCATTTGAGCCCCTTACCTTGCTTACGCAAGGAGAAACTTCAGCTAGCTAAAGCTAGCTTTCGATCCTTGCAAGCCTCTCACCCCCATCCTTGTTGGGCCGGAAGCAGCGGATGAAATGCACGCCCATAGCGGACAGCTTCTTCATGAGCGCCTCTAGGTCTGATCGGTGTCTCTTGTTGACCTGGGACAGCAGTCTGGGATGAGGTCCACTACTAAACACCCCCTGATGCAGTCGCTGTGCAGTGCTTCTACCTCTTGTGAACCCCTCATGTAGTCGCTGTGCAGTGGCTGGATATATCATTATATAAACCCTAGGGTAGGTGCTGTGGGGGTTGTGGAAACCATTTCAGTGCCAATGTCATCACACCCGGCATGGCAAAGGGACAAGCAAAAGCAACGCCAGTCCGGGCCCGAACTGTTCTCGAAAAGGGAGAGGCTTGCTAACCAAGAACACATCCCTCGCCCAATCCTGCTGCATGTCATCCACCACACGCTGGGGGAGAAACGAAGGGGCAAGGACACGCACGGGACCCCATGTTCCTGAAACGGGAACCGGGCACGGGTCCTCTTCCCAGTAGTGCTGAACGGGCAACAAAAACGGACATTGCTTTAAAGGTCGCCGGCTGGAAATAGAGAGAGATCCCCTCTTTGCTATCACTTGTGCAGCTGGTGTTAGCAAGCCTCAGCCCACTAGCCTCACAGGTATTTTTCTCAAAACGGGAGGCCACCAATGGCTGGCTTTCTTTGGTCCACGCACACAACACATAGGAAACTTAACACAAATACAAACTAGATTCTACCTAAACAAATGGAACCCGCATTGCTTTGTTCTTGTTCATCAAACAAAACACACACATATATATATATGCATATATTATAGTGTATTTTTACACATGCCCAGGCACGCACACCCCTTTTCGCCAAGGTGCAGACTGGCATGGCCTCTTGGAAGTCTGACGCTCCAGGTGTAGCAAGTCGTTGGAAGAGGTCTGGCGTCATTTTTCACGTGCCCCAAGGCTTCCGATGGCTGAGGTGACTTCCCTTGGGCTTTTTGCAACCACTTGGCTTCGGCCGCATAGCCCACTGAGACTTATAACGAGGGTCAGTGGGTTATAGCCAGACTTAACCGCTTACTAAGTACCCTGCACCTTTTAGTGGCTCCGCGTTTCGCATCCTGGCAAAGGCCCACTCCCCACCCCCCCCACCCCCCGGCCCCAACAGGTTGAACGACCGACGGAACTCATCATAACCCATGTATGCGGCAGCAACCATCCCCTGAAGCGGGTATGACACCACCGATGCCACCTAATTATGGGTGTTGGAACCTGCTGGCCATGTTCACATACAGGCTAGGTTAAAAGTATGCCTTAGCTGCAGGCGGCACATTCCACTCTTGGCCCACGTGTGCAAGACTTGAAGCAACTAAATCCCGAAACGGGTCCTCTGGAAAAGGGTAGCATGAAAAGAAGGATGCTAGCCAGAATTCGGTCAACGGCTTGTTGGTTGAAAGGAAAAACCTACGGACCATCACTTCCATTTGCTTTTTCGCCCCATGCAAAAAAATATGTTTTTCACTGTTCAAGGAAACAACCCATTCTGCCAGGTTGACTACCCTCCCATCAACTAACACGGAAGTGCACAAGGCGCCTTGCCAAGAGGGAAAGTCGTCTTTCTGAATGGGTCTGCGTACTTCCATGTTAATGTTGACCCCATATTTATCCACCCCTGTTATTCATATGGGGGTGTTCCCCTCCAAAAGTGATCTGATTCCCCACTAATCCCAGGGACACCCCCTATGCCAATAAACATTGGGGATTAACATGGGATCAACCTGGGTCGGGGGGGGGCCTACCCGCCTGCAGCAGCTCGGCCACCTCTGGCAGCGGCTGGGAGTCGTTGGCGTCCAGCCAGCCGCTGGTCAAATAGGTCACCTCGCGCGCCACGTGACGTGAACCGGGCGCCCGATGTGCCCCATTTAAACTCGGTTGCGTTCTGCTCCCCTGCTAAAAGTTTAACTTTTAGTGGTTTAATGGAAAATCCATTAGTTGGCGAAAAGTTAAAGTCCTAACATCCAATTGAAATGCACCACATAACACCACACAGTCGGCTGGAAAGTCTTCTAAGACAATCTCTGGCTCCTTGTGGCAAGCTCCACCACTGCAGCCTTGCTTCGCCCGTTTCCCCGTTTTGCCCGGAAAACGGAAAACCGCTCCCGAGCGCTCAGCGGGCGCACGCCTCCCCGGCGTAGTGCCGCACCGCGAAGCGCCCCGCGACGTGGCCACGGCGCCTCGCCTCGCCGGTGCGCCGCAGCAGCAACTCGAGAGCCTCGCCGCCTGTCAGCGACTCTGCGCCACTCTTGGCACAACTTTGGATAGACCCCCAAACATAGGTGGCCTTTGGAAAAAATAGATTGCCCTGGTAAATGGAATAAACCCCATCTAAACCAGCACCATCTATTTCTATCCAAACTCACCTAAAAAGGACACCTGTGCCCAAAAAGGCTTGGGGCCCCTGCAATGGTCCAAAAACTCCGAATCTGAGGAGACATGGCGGTTCCCTTACCCAAGAGTCCAAACTCCCGGAGTCGAGGACAATCCCTTGGCCCCGGGCACAGGGTGTCTCTTGACCATGGCCTGGAAAAAAAAAACTTTGCTCTTCACGCACGTGTGGGGAAGCTGCATATCACTTGAGGAGTGACCTCTGCACTCCTCAAGCTCCAAACAGGCTACTTGTGGTTTACCCTTAAGGCCCAGAAAGGTGGGGGGCAACCCTGGAGTCGAACGCCACCTTGAAACGGCATCTCTAGTGTTGCTCAAAACCGCCTCAGGCAGGACAGGAGCCTGTAATGAGTGACCACCAAGCAGAAATAACCGTGCTCTCCCTGGTTTCGCTAGGTGCCTGGAAAAAATGCGAAGCACAGGGGACTTTTAACAGCCAGTTTGGCCCTGGCATGCGGTGTTGGTATACTTTGCAACCAGATTCACGGAGTTAACAGCTGACGGAGAGGGCAGTTGTTGGATGTACCCTTTCAGAAGCAGCATTCACAGACTGGTTCAGAGCCAGAGTGAGCCGTTGCGGTCTCATGGCGACTAAAAGAGACTAATAATGACTACAGAATCGGGGGCCGTTAAGGACCATAATCTTCCCATTGCTCCGCTTGCTATGGCTTCGAATCCAGTGTTTGAAACATGTTAGTACCCCTTTAGACTCATATTGGCTAGTTCTTTTCCTCAATGCCAGCCCTGCATGAACCCAAAGCCGCCTCCCCCAGATCGCAAGCGCTGCATGCTGCAGTCATCCAACACGTTCAGCACGATGTCCAAGTTGTCAAGAACCTGGGCGAAGAAATGCAAGGGGCTACAAACGTTACGCATGTCATGCTGTTACGATCATGTTTTTTTGTTGGATTTGAAGTACTACTCCGCAACCCCAGTCCCATTATTTATGCCTTTATAGCTTTTTGTGATTGGAAACACGCTGGTCCCGGGTTCTTCCATACATAAGCAGGCCTAACTCCACCCATAAATGCATAGCAATGTGAGTAGGTAACTCCCCTCCCCCCCCCAAACACCTCCTAAACTGACAATTGTGTGGAAGGAGCGAGTCTGACAGAAGGGCCGCGTGCCATCAAAGTGACATCCTCAAGCTGACCTGCAAAAAAACAAACAAACAAACAAAACAGGAAACCAACACCCAAGAATTTTGTTGGAGAAACCACCTAACCACTAACCCGGCCGCCCCCTTTTTGGAAAACCACCTTTGTCTGGGGCCCCACACCTGGCGCCCCGAAGTCTCCCTCTCGCCGAGGTCCAGCTTGAGGCCCTCCGAAAGGCAAAGCTGCTGCTCCTTCACCTCGAAGCACTAGGTGGGGGTCTCGGGCGTTGTTCAGCTTACCTCCAGTTGGTGTGGGGCCTCGTGGTTTGGGGCGGGAAACCTCCCATAAGCAGCTCTTCCCTCTTGGTGATTTGGAGCCCGGTCGAGGAGCGTGGGTTCCCTTCCCCGTGTCTCAATGAATCCTCGGGTTTTCCTCTTGGTTTCAGCTTCCCTTGGCTTCAGCTTCCCTCCACGGAGGAGCTTCCTATTAACCCTCCGCAAAATTGGTTTGGATTGGATCCCGGTACCTTGCCGGCCTGCCGGGATGGATTCCCATTTCTCGACAAGAACAAGGAGTTCAAATCCGAAACCAACACCAATTGGGGGTGCCTGATCAATGAAACTGGTCGATCTCGATTTGGCGGTGCCCCCTTTTGGTGGGGGTTCACTTGTGGAAGGGAACGTAATTAACCTTAAAATGGATCTGAGTCTTCCTGCACGCCGACCACCCAAAGAAAAAAACACACACATATACACATATACACATAAACACACATACACACATACACACATACACACAGACACATATACACACATACACACATACACACATACACACATACACACATACGCACATACACACATACACACACACAAACACACAAACACACAAACACACAAACACACAAACAAACAAACACACAAACACACAAACACACAAACACACAAACACGCAAACACGCAAACAAACACACAAACAAACACAAACACACAAACACACAAACACACAAACACACAAACACACAAACACAAACACGCAAACACACAAACACACAACACAAACACACAACACACACACACACACACAAACACACAAACACACAAACACACAAACACACAAACACACAAACACACAAACACACAAACACACAAACACACAAACACACAAACACACACACACACACACACACACACACACACACACACACACACACACACACACACACACACAAAGCGTGGAACCCGACAACCGCGGTCGTTTCGAGGGAGCCATCCAGGGCGCCAGGAGCTGGTCGCAGAAGAAGAGCTGCAGCCGCTCGTTGGTGTAGTTGATGAGCAGCCTAAGGCTTGCGGGTTCGATAGGTGGGGAATTGGAATGAAGCTCATAAACCAACCAACCTTTGTGGCTTCCTTTAAGGGAATCCCCTTCCAGTTCATTCCCAACACCAGGACTCGGTCATGCCCTACCTATCGCAGCACCAGCAAACCAACCCAGCAAGGGTCCAGGCCCAAGGTTCCCAGTGAACTTTTCCGGCTTCCACTTGACCCATGGGTTCCCTAATAGTCCCCCGCAAATTCGAGCGTGCCCGAAAATTGGGGGGGGGGGGTGCTCTCAAGGGAACCGAAAGGGTGGTTTCCCAGTTCAATCGCTACCCACGAAATGTCCTTTGAAACTTGCAAGAATGAGTATGGGAGAACCCCCCACCCCATGTTCCATACATTTCTCAGGAGTGCTCCCTTCAAACTGGAACAAGGTCCGTAGCAAGGCCATGAGAGCTTTCCAGATGCACCTTTGGTAGCAAGAGCTCAACCCCCTCCTCAACTTGAAGCCAGCAGGCTGTTCAAGCTGGTTGTTCTGCAAGTCTTCAAAGCCGTACATGTCCAGAATGCCAAGCTCCTGTGTGGGCGACCTTGCCTCCCGCCAAATGGGATGGCTCAAAATGAAAGAGCTGGGGCTACGCGGGTTTTAGTCCTTGGTTCCATTTACCAAGGTGCCATTTTGGTACCACTTTTTGAGCCACAGCCAAATCCCGCCAGAAGGCGGAGCAGTTGCCGATGGGCGAGGGGTGGGCCAGCAGAGGGCCCCCAGTTCTGCCGGGGATCTCGCCAAGCACCCCGCACATCAGTCAGCAACAAAGAAGCGCTCGGGGGAGACCTTGGCCCTCTGACCTTCTCCATCCTCTCCCACCCAACCCAAAACCAGCGACAGAGCATGGGGGGGAAATTACGGGCTGTTGTGTGCCGAAAGGGGCCATGGTTGATACCAACGAATTGATCACTTTCCAGGGGCAACATCTGGCTATGGATCTGGGTTGACTTGAAACAACCCGGTCAAAACGGCACCGCAAAGGGTACCCTCAAAAGCACGCGTATTTTTTCTAGGGTCTGGTTATGATGAGTCTTCCCCCGTAAAGGTGGTGTTTAAGCCATATTTTGCCCCACCCATATTTTTGCCTCAACGCTCCCTAACCTTGTAGTGGGGACCCAGCTCCAGTTTTCCGGTGCTCCCCCATAGCTCCTCCTCCTCTGGACCAAGGTCCGCCAAGTTGTCGGACATCCGCCGCACCACGCCTGAACCAGTTCGTAAGGACCACAGGCACTCCCTTCGAACTGTCTTTTTGATTGTGCGGAGCCTACTGGTATCACAACGTGTTGCTCCTTGCACTATTTTTTCCGCACGAGTCTTGAACCCCCGTCGTTCCACTTGCAAGCAAGCTTGTTCCTTGCGTTTCTTGTCATGCACGACTGGAACCCTTGGTTATTCCCGAGTGACACCTTTGGAGACCAGGGCTTGACCTTGGACGTGTCAATGTTAAAGACGGACCGCACCTCCCAAACCCCCCGAACCCCCCACCCCAAAAAAGCAAAAAGCAGCAACCTGGCCGAACCCTGCTGGGCACAAGCCCCGTGTGACCTCCTGACAAAAATTGGCAGCTGGGCTAATGCGGCTGAAACCCCCCAAACCCTTCCCCCTTCCCCCCCCCCCCAACCCCCCGGCCGTGAAAGAGGCGGCTGTAGGCCGCCACCGCCAAGCCCCGCAGCAGCGCTCCCCGCTGCTTCGCCGCGCGCGGCAGCGCCAGGTCCTCCGCACCAACCCGCAGGCGCCGGTGGCGCAAACTCGCCTGACTGGGAGGTCGGATCCTGAGGCGAATTTTGAGGATGCTCCTGGAAGGGTGTGTCAAGGGAAACCGGAAGGCTCGTTTAAATGGGTAGTCTCCCAGAACGAGTGGGCGAGGGAGGTATAAAACAACCCCGCAAAAAGGGTCCATCCACAAAAGTACCCTTAACACATCGGAAAGCCACAAAAAGACAAAAAGGAATGCCCGAAGAAGGGGATCTTCATCATGGGTGGGCTCGTTTTACCCCTAAGTGAGTGGCAGCCATAAGGCAAGCCAAGCGACTGGACAAAACAATTAACATGGAACCTGACAGAGGGGTCCTGGAAGACTCCATTTTCCCGTTTCAAGGGACCCCCCGTCAGGTTCCGTGTTATTCTTGGTTGACGTTGGAAGGGGAGCAAAAGTTTGAATTTTCGCAGCTAAGCAGGGATTTCCCACTAAACCACAATAAGCAAGAATGCAAAATGTTTCCCGACAACAGCCATGAATTCGTGGGAGGGCAACCATGCCCATGTAGGCACCCCATGAAATCGCGCCCACTCCCCGTTTCAGGCCGGGCCATGGCGCCTGCAGACTCTGGAAGCTAAGGCCCAGCAGCTGGCACGCGGAGGCCATCTCCGAGACCTCATCCTTGCCAGGGCCGCCCCCGAGTCCCGGAGCCAACCAAAACTGCTCACTTGCTGAGTGGATGGCCCAAGGAAAGGTCCAAGCTTTATATTTACCGCTAAAATGGCCTTCCCAAAAAGCTTAAAGTTCATGAACTCAGGGAGTGAGACTGGGGGCTGAAACAAAGAGAAACCCACGGGCTCTGGGCGAATTTTGGGGAAGATGGCTCAAAATAAAGAAGCTTTGAAGAGATGAGCCCTTGGAGAAACCCTTTCCTTGAAGCTGAAAGTAGAGGCCAAAAGAGAGAAAGTGTGTTTGGGGTGATGTGGTTGGGCTTCCGGAACCGTGGGCCAAAGTGAGGGACGAGATTTCGCGCCTCACGCTACTATGGAACCCGGCGAGTTCCGAATGGCAACTGGGACCCTTTCCCCAGATCCCATGGCACATCCCCAACCGGCCCCACCCAAGAAGACCAAAAGAACAAACCGAGAAAAATTATGAGTTTGTCATGCTCAGAAGAATTACCTCGCAGAAAATACGGCCCAAGAGGAAGCCTAGCCCAAAAACCACGCTCCTGAGGGAAAATAAAACGGAACCATTTTAGGTGTGTTTCATTTTTCTCTTTTTTTTTGGGGGGGGAGGACCACCCACGTATCACGAGACACGCTCCTTGGGCCAAGCCCTGAGACGGTTCGTGCAATGGTCAGAATGGGATGGCTCAGAAGCGATCCCCTTGACTTGCTTTGTCTCTCCTTTTTTGGGTTGTTGCTTTTGCACGCCCCAAACAACCCCACCATGTTCCCCTATTTTGAGACAAACTGTCTCGAAACGTTGTGTGCTTTTTGAGGTAGAAAATTCACCTCATGCGGCCTTCTGTCGGCATCCCCTCGGTTGTTTTGCCCAGGTGACGTCAGCGTCGATTTTGCTGGTTGCCGGAATGCTTTTATCAACCCTTGGTTCCAAGCACGTTGGGTTTGCCCGCATAGCCCTGCAAATGGCACATTTCTGAAAACACAAACAAACAAACAAACAAACAAACAAACAAACAAACAAGCAAACAAACAAACAAACAAACAAAAAACGGACACCATCCCAAAATTGTTTCCCCAACTTGCCATGGCTGGGCCAATCTGAGGAACAGCGTGGGCAGCTTGGAAATTGGAGGCATGGAGCTGAGCACAGAGCTTTTTGCACGCTGTCTGCGACTCGCATCACCCTCTCGGCCCGTACATCCTTGAGGGCTGTACAAAACTCGGCGCCACCCTGACTAAAAAAACCCTCCCCACTAGTGGGGAGTCCTTCCTTCCAGCCGGAGCCAGGCCGCTGCTTGATAGTTTGGGCGGGGGGGCATCAAGGGTCAGCATTATGCTTAAAACCCCGAGGTCTCCTATAAAGGCCTCAGGGGCACCCCAAATCGATTTGCATCTAGGAGTACCGCACTGCGTCAAAGGCCCGTGTCGAGGCGTCCAAAGTCTGGGGGTTGTTCCAAAGAGACACCGACTGGCGATCAAACAGTTGCGCCGCAAAGTCGTAGACTTCGCGATCTCCGGCAGTCACGTAGGTCCTCGGTTAGCAGGCATCCTTAAAGGATGCAATCCACAAACCCGCCGGGTTGCAAGGGAATTGTCTTACTAAATCAGTTCCCAAAGCCCTAGCGCATCCTTTAACTTCCATTTGCTTAAGTGCCCTGGAAACAACAAACATATGCCCACTGGTGATACATTCCCCCCCCACCAAAAAAAAAGAAAAAAAGAAAAAAAGAGAAGAAAAGAAACATGTTCTTAAGCAACTGGAAGTTAATTTGTGTGGTTGCCCGCCGGCCAAGGAAACGCCCGAGGGGCGCCACCTCCTTCTCGCGGGGCAGCCAGTCCAGCTTTGCATCGCCATTCACCTGGCAAGCTAGAAAATGAGCAGCGCGCAAAAACCGATTGGCGTTGGGTTCAACAGACATGCTTATAAAGAGTACATGTTCCGAGTTTGATGAAGTTTGAAAATGTTGGTGCAATAGAGTATGCTGAAATGAAATCATTTAAATGATTGTTGACATGTGTATTGTAGTTAAGACCCGTCGACTTTACTCATTGCATGTTCATCTAAACCCAACACAACCTAAATGATACCATGCATTGCACAAACTACATGGTATCATCTCTTCTGCTTTGAACAACTGGGCTAACCTTACTAAACTAAGCAGTAGAACCACCTGCTGAAATTGCCCCTGAAGGGTTTGGGGCTGTTCAAAATGGCCCAAGCCCCCCTTTGGTTCAAGAATTCATTGGAGTTTCTCGCTAGGTCCCCCCCCAAAAAAAAAAAGATGAAAAAAAAACGTCCGGCGTCAGTTCGCAAAGACTTTTTTCGGCGAAAACCAACACGTCAAAGCCCACAACACACAATCCAAGAATTCCCCATGCTTTCCTGACAGCCCCCCAAAATCAAAAAAACGGGGCCAAGCTCACAATGATACCTATCTTCTTTTGTGTTCCAAAAGTTATGTGTCTCAAAGTAGGGGCACCCCCAAAATGTCCAGTGTCCGTTTGGTTCGGCTAAAAAAAACAAACAATGGGCCTGGCACTAACTCTCCACTAACTCCAAAGGAAGCAGAAAAAATATGCACCCAGAGGGGTGCTTCTCAAACCAGAAACCCCCTCAAAATGGCGGGGGGTGCCTTTTCCGTTTAATATTAACCGACCCCCGCCCCCCCCCCCCCCCCAAAACAAAAAAAAAAGCCAAAATGTGGGTGCGCCCTGCTGAAAGCGAGGCGTCTGGTCGCTTAAAATCAGCCCAGGTAGCGTTGGCGTCGCCCAGGAGCTTCGCCACGGCGCCCATCTCCGAAGGAGTCTTGCCATAGAGGCGGCCCAAACATACCAAGGTCTCCTGGGGGGGTGGGGGAGGCGGGGGTGCTGGACTGAGGGGTGGGGGGTGGGGGGCAGTGCTTGGCTGCGTCATTCCACATCGTCGGGGTGACATGCGAAGGGCAGAACCAAAAACCTTGCAGGGATCCACCTGATCCACATGGACAATGGTTCTTTGGTGCAAGGCCCCCTTCCAGACCTATCCTAGGGATCCTGACTCACAGCTTTCCCCCCCCCAGATTCAAGCAATCTTCAAAATCAAAAGCTGGAAACATGGAATGTGTTTTTGGAGGCTTGTTTGAACGGGTCGCCTTAGTTGTACAGGGTGTTAGTTATACCAACTCCCACTTAACACACCCAAGAATGTCAGGTTCAATTGCTGGCAGGGTACCGGCTTAGGGGCACCTAAGGGGAAATGAGGAACAATAAGCAAGCTGTTGAGTGGGGGCGAAAAGTCATGTCCCGGAAAGTGCTTCTTCTAGACGATTCCATGGAAGCTCCCAGACCTTTGGAAGACTTGTTGCCATTTGCCGAGGCCAATTGGGGGGAGCTTCCAACTGTTAGTTTGAGGGAGTGTCAGTTCCGTTTGCTTTTCTGCCCCCTGGCCCATGGAAAAAACATGAGAAACAATATCCTGTTGACATTGATTCCCTTCAAAGCCCAACAGGGGAAAATAGAACATATTCTTAATTATGGCCCTCATTGGCCCTTGAAACCTCATACTCACCAGTCACCAAGTCGCTAGGCCGCTAGGCTGCAATGTCTCCCCTGGCTCTGAGTCAGCAAATGACATCTCACAGCCAAACTAGGGCCCGCTGGCCGAAGCCAGCCAAATCGCCAAGTCTCACTCATACGTTCAGCGATGCCCACCAGATCGAACTGGGTGACCAGAACCTGCTTCGCCTTCCGAGGTTTGGATGTACACTCGTGAGGGACACCCGCGGCTCCCGGGACACACCCCCATCCAAACGCCAAAAAGGGCCAAGGGGGTGAACGAATCACATTCTAACCAGCTAGCCCTGATATTGCGTACACCCCCATTGGTGGGAGACCCCTCCCAAAAACAAAAACCAATTTCATCCATGGAGCCAAACTCGGACCCAGCAAACTAAACCCACTTGGTATCATCCCCAATTTTGGGCGGGGGTCATAACCTTTTCACAGAAAAGCCACATGTCCAGCTTATATGAGGTCCATAGCTGGGTCCGACTTTCCAGGGGGCCCGATTGATTTCAGTGCCCATCCCCCCCGCCCCGCCCACCCACCCACCCGCCCACCCCACCCAACCCACCCACCCACCCCTCCCCAAAGGGTGCCTTTTCCACGTCGCCCTGGCCCAGGAACTCCCGAAACTCGCAGCAGCTGCGAGCAGCCATGTCCAGCGTGGCGGCGCCCGCCCCCTCGTTGCCCAGGCGCCTAAACGAGGCAGCGAGGCTCGAGAGCGCCACGTCCGACGGAAGCCCAACGTGGGCGCAGCCAGCTGGAGACGAAAAGTTGGCTGGGAAGACGAGCTTGTGCCAGGGAGCTTAGCCAGCGAGTTGGCGAATTATCTAGCTTGCCAGATAGAAGCTTGGCTATATAAACCACAAAAAAAAATCCGCAAGCTAGAGTGTGAACGGAGTGCCTGCGGCCGTTCCAATGGTGTTTGCCATTTTCGATCCCCTTCTGGAGACAGCTCCGAGACAGCGTGCAAAAAATACAGCTGGGTTTCATGAAAACACGGCATTCCTGCACTTTGATGGTTTGGTTGCGTGTGCTTCCTACAGGATGAGGCCAGTTGTAAAGCTCCCTGCCATGCAACCTGTGCTAAACTGCCTTCGACAAGCATATTGGTTTAATCATACATCTACTATATGCGCGCACACACACACACACACTTTCGCTTCGGCGTATGCTTCTTTACTCTATCTAGGACACCCCTATGGTTTGGTGTCCTCGCGTGCGAAGCATTATCTAGGTCCCGAGCCAAGCACGCTGCCTTGGGCGAACAATGGCCGGGCGCGTGACACTTCGCTTGATGGGCAGCGAATCTGCGCCATCTGCGAAGAACACCTCTAAGTGGCCGCCCCAGCGATGTAAGAAATCAGACCCTTGCACATTCGGAACGCTGCAAGGGGCCCACATGCACAAACAAACAAAAAGCACAACCTCCAAAGATCGGTCCGCCCACCC